AAGTCCCCGAAATGCCTTAAAATGTGATAGAATGCCCCAAAACATGCTTCTATGTAGATATTTTGGTTTAAAATCAAAGGAAAAAATCAATATCTTGACATGTAATAAGTTGACACAAAATGCAAAAGTGTGTGTGTGTGTAATTGTTGTTGTTTTGTTGTGTACAGAGAACTTGAGGAGAACAAGGAGAAGCAGGATGACAATCAGAATGGAGGAGATTCTGCCAAGATTGCATCAAAACATGTAGGTTTTTGTGGAATGCTTTGTTGTTATGTTTTTGTAATGTCTAGTAATATGGAGTCATTGGACTTGTTGAGTTGTTTGTGAAACTTTGTAATAACTTTGTGTCCTACTTAGGAGAAGTTTCTCCTGGAGATGGAGGAGCTGTTTGCTGAGGTGGATGAGAAGAGAAAAGTAAGTGTGCATGTGCATTATACGGTGGACAGAGCGTACGTTTAAGCATCAAAATGTTGGCCAAGTCACAACCTCCTGTATGAGTTTGTCTTGTGACTTGGTTGTTGTGTAAATTGGCAGTAATGGATGGACAGTGACTTTGTTGAGTGTGGAAGCAATAATCAGACAGAGTCAGAGAGCCCAAGTCAAGGGTATTTTGTGTATTTGCAGAAATGACTTTGTACAGTGACTCTGAATGCAAAAGATACATTTGCAGAGGATGTTTGTACTTTAAACTCTTATCTGTCTGTCCGTCCATCCGTGTATCTATCTATCTATCTATCTATCTATCTATCTATCTATCTATCTATCTAATCTCCCTATCTGTCTATCTAGCTTTTATGTTCACAAACACATCTATGAAAATATCATACAAAAACAAAGGACTCAACGATATTATGACACCTACTTTGTGTTTGTTCTTGTTTCCTCAGAAGCGGGAAATCCCAGATTACCTGTGTGGAAAGATCAGCTTTGAGCTGATGAGGGAACCCTGCATTACCCCCAGTGGTATCACCTACGACCGGAAGGACATTGAAGAGCACCTACAGGTTAAAAGACCACATTTTAATGTTCAATATCTATCGACTACAACTAGGAACATCTTGATACCAAACATGTTCTGTACTTCTGTTTACAGCGAGTGGGTCATTTTGATCCAGTTACTAGGAGTCCACTGACCCAGGACCAGCTGATCCCAAACCTGGCCATGAAGGAAGTCATCGATGCCTTCATCCAGGAGAACGGTTGGGTGGAGGATTACTGACAGGACAGCCCCATACAACCTTTTTTTCTGTATCCTTAAAATCAACACAGCAAATGGACAATGAAGGACTCCTGACAACAGATCACCCCCTTGCCTGGATACGTACTTTGCAGGAAAGGCCGAACAACGGAATACAGTAGGGGAGAAGCGGTGGTCACCTACACCTCCTCCCGACGTTCACCTTTGCTGTAAGACCACCTGCTCCAACTTTCTGTCACGGTTCACAGCCTTCTCTTTCCTTTTGAGCCCCATCTTACGCAGATTCTTTTTCTTCAATTCTGCCATGCTGTTCTAGTATTACGAGCCTGACTCTTCTGCTTAACCGAGTTCTCAGGTCTCTTCTGTCCTTACTATCCTAATCGCCACTTCTTTGAATGCCACTACTCTTGGAAAGCATCAGCGTTGCACACCAGTGTGCATCAACTCCAGTATTTCATGGATTTTTCTTCCTAGAAATGGAGCATTTGCCGGATTCTTTATGTACACCCTCCCACCCCTACAATATGCCCGTCTCCTCAAGGAACACTAGTTTGTATGCAAGTTTTACACAAAGGTAATTAAAAAATATACTCACCAGTAAAGAAGGTAGAACGATCATCTACGATTTCTCTCCCATCGAGACTGAAACTACTATTCGATCCTTTGCATATCAATCACCAAACACCGTTACAGACAATTACAAGTTAGCTGAATGTATGAACAATTTACTCTAAAGGTCTGAACGCACAGTAGTCAAAGGTTTTATTGGGGTCACGTGAGGTCCGTCAAATTCGGCCGCCTCTAAATGGACAGATCTAAATGAAGACGAATGGAGCTGCTGAATTACAACTTTTTGTAACATTGCTGGATAGTATACGAATTATGTGCAAGTCGTCTAAGAACGCTCAGTGCTGTCTGTGTCGTCTGTAGAATCAAGTAATGTGTGGACGCTTACATCGAGCATGAAATGATTTCTTTTCTGCTACAGTTTTTGGTAAAAGCATTGGGGGTTTTCACTTCCATTGTCTTTTTGCCCAAATGTTTCTACACCTTCTCCTCCCTGTCTCATACTTTGGTAGAAAATGATTGTACCTGTTAAACTACAGCATATTTTTGTGTTGTACTGAATCCACTTCAAAATCATCACTGTTCATGCTGGAAGACCTGAAACCAGGTACAGTCGGACTTCCCTTCACAGGGCTACACTGACTTTCTTTCACTTTTCGTGCCATCCCATTTCACAGGATTTTCTGATAAATGTGTGTCAACGATGACTTAACCTCATCCTAGTCTTTGTCGTTGGGGTGCTGGTAGTGTACTTCATTTGCTTGTGTAACTTCAGATTTAATTTCTTCACAAAATAAGTATCTCCTTTTTACCCTTGACAAATCTTAGCGCTTGACAAACTGTATTAAATGTAGATATGTTGATAATGTCATTTCCTGGTTTACCTTTTCTTTAGCCCCATTAAACAACCAACGTTGACATTGTCTTGTATTCGAGTCCAGATTACAATTTGTGGCCACACCTTGGCATAGGTAGCTTTCTCAACTAACTGGAAAAGCAGAAAATACAAAAAGTGTCCAGACTAAAATGTATCATACAAGAATATCGAAGGTTAACTTACGTTGCCCTCCAGTCTGTCCACAAATTATTTTACTCCAACTATATCAAATGTTTTACAGCATAACAAGAAGAAACTAACAATAAAAGGCTATAATACGCAAAAACAAATCCACATCTGACCTGAAGGTCAGGACAACTAGCCTGTCCAACTTACACACTATTGATTTTGTACATCAAAAAGGGCAAGGACACTACATTGAAGACTGAAACAACCCCTAATGGTCTGTATTTCTCACATTTCACATATTCAATACCTTCGCGTCTGTACATCTCGTAGGAAGTCCAGGTATGTCAAAGGAAACTGCATTACTCATCCAAAACATAAGGGGGGGCTCCATATAAGTCCATTCCTACAATCAACACACCAACTCCACATTAGCTGATGACAAATATTTATTCATTACAAATTGCATTACAAATGATAGTACTGTATTATACAAATTGATCAATCAATATATCTTTCGAGTATTTCTTTTTATTACCACCATTTATTACTATGACTAAAAGTAAGTGTACTCAGGATACAATACTCATTCAAAGCTACTTTAAGTCACTTCTTTTAGCCTAATAATCAACAATCTTAAAACCATTGCAATTGCCTATGAATGGTACAAAATTGGGAATAATCAAATTCAACTGAACTAACATTTTCAGGAAATTATTTAAATTAATTAACAGTTTTAAAAAAATTACTATTTATTATACATTCATCTCAACAGACACTTTTACATTGTTTTCTTTCTATAAAGACACCAGATTGTCATTGTGTAAACTGGTCAGCAATATATTATTTTATAGATTATGACCCACTAATGAAGACATGGCACAGTGAAGGTTTTAGATTTTAGACAACAAAGTATTTTGGTATATCATGTAAGAATTGGTTTAGGTTAAATAAATGTTACAAAGAAATGGTCGTCCAAACGTGTCTTCAAACAACACGTGTTTAACGATCATTCGAAGCGGAACTTTTGATCGGTACTCTGACCACTTCTTCCATTATCAGTGCGAGGGTGTGGCACAACTCCTTGGCCTAAAAGACAGATCATCAAATCTTACTTTGGCCAATGTTGTTGCTGTTGTATGCACAAAGACACTTATCTACTTTTACTTATCATTTTAAATGAAGGATATCTGAGGATGATGGATGTACGATGCCTTACCTGTTGGACAGTGATGGTGACTTTCTTGGTACGTCCTGAACTGCCATAGTCGATGTGGACCATTCCCAGTTTGCCTTGTTTCTTAGGCCGAGTGGCTCTCATGTGCTTAATCTCTGGCAGGTTAATCATGAACCTTTTCTCCTGAAAAAGAATTTAAAAAACTCTCAGACTGGTGGTTTGAAGAATTGTACTCCAGGAGTTGAGACTTTGAGGCATTTAAGCACTGAACACTGAGGGATTTTTTCTTCCATCCAATTGACTTAAAATTCTCGGGACTTAAAACAACTTGGACTCCAAATTTACAGTAAACTATACAGCAGTGATCAACTGGCAGCCCGCGGGCCAAACCAGCCCACCAAACTGTCCAATCCAACCCAGGATTAAACACCCAAATTGGTACAGCTGTGTCTGTGAAATGTACCTGTGTCCTTGGGTCAATGAACAGCACAGCCTGCTGGTTGATGCCGACCACACATGGGGAGGGGCAGCCACGCTGGCTCACCTTCTGGGCCAAGAAAATGTTGCAGCCAAACAAATTCATGTGGGTCATAAACTCTGAAAATCACAAGTTAAGGTACATTTACAGTAATTATCAGTATAATGTTTAAAGAAAGAAGAAAGTGAATGAAATTTAAAACGAAAAACTGTCTCACCGATGAATTTCATTTTGGCATCCTGCGGTCTAAGCGGAGGCATGGCAGCAATTTGACCCAAACAAAGAGAATGGATCTCGTGTACTTTCTCACCGAGCTGCCATTGTGAAGGCACATACTCCAACACCTCTGACCTTTGACAGAAACACAAGTCAAGGTTCAATCCTGTCTTCTTCAGGGGTGCAGGAGTCACCCTCTGGTGGTACAATAGTGGTAGACAGACTAATTGAACAAACGATTACAGTGGAACCTCAGTTGGCGAATGCCTCCCTTTTCAAACAATTCAGTTCACCAACAAATTCTTAACCAAAAATTGCCCTGGTTGTCATAGCATAACTCGGTTGCTGAACAAGCCAAAAGTATGACGTGCACAGCAAGTGATCATTGAGTGACTGAGCCCGTGGTGTATAGCCACGCTCAGGATATAAACGCTGTTGTCTGTTTTTGTCAGTATTTCTTGCTCTGCACTATTTCTTTTTTTTATTCCATAAATCACTAAACAATAGAAAAGAAGAAAGATTATACAGAAGCATGAGAATGGCGCCGGTGTTTCAGATCTGGTTTTACAGTATGATTTAGCTAAGTCGTCCATTTGTACCATCATTAAGAACAGGGGAGCAACTGTTTCAGTTTTCAAACTGTTCACGAACGGCGTTCAGGAACAAATTAAGTTCAAAAACCGAGGTTCCACTGTACTTCTAACTTCAAACCGAATGGTCTATGAGCCAGTATTATGGTGGGATTGAGGATAGAATGCAACAATTAAGACATTGAGGTCATGCGTCTATGAGAATAAAGATGAAACATTACATCAATATGCCCTTTTACTAAAAATGTTTTCTCATATTTCAGCGTTATAATCTATTTCAACTACTTCTTCAGGATCCACCCACAGCTAACCTGTGATTGATCACATAAAACAATAAGTACACTTTTATCATAACATTTGGAAACTTATTTGTGATCAAAGTTGAGCAGCTCACGGTGACGGCTGAGTCCCTTGTCCCTTGGCCAGGTGTTGCAGAGCTGATAACTCTGCAATCTGCTTGAAAAATGCAGAGTTGTCAGCAGTAGGAGGGAGGAACACGCGGCCGTTCAGGTAGTCACCCAGGAGCTACGCACGCAAAGAGACAGAAGGCCACGCGGTTATGGTTTTATAGTCCGTGTCAATGACACAACTGATAATATTGGCTGCTAACAACCATTCCTGTCACCTGCTGGTAGTGGACCTCTGTGTAAAGGTCATTCACAAAGAAGAGAGCGTTTCTCCACAGAAATCTCCTCAGGTACAAATGACTGGAGTCATCGTCGTTCAGAAAGTCCAACAGATACTCCTGAGGATGGAGCGGACGCACAAGTCCATCTAAAAGGACAGTGAGGTAAAAGTCACCCCTCTGAAAATTCAGAACTTCAAAGCAGCTGTGGTGGATTTTACCTTTCTGTCTGCAGGAGAGGAGGGTGAAATCTCTGGCTTCCGTGGGGACTGTACTGCCCATTTCGTTGCATATCGCTTTAACCACGTCTGACGTCATCTAGAGCCGCATTACACCGGAGTTAGTAATAACAGGCAAAATAAGAACTTTCAACGCGGAATTAAATAATAAAAAAACACATACACTGGTGATGTCAATCTTGACAGATAAATCCCCTTGAATCATGAACCTGACTGGAATCTGTCGGTGGCTGTTACCAGTCTGTGGAGGATCAGAGTATCACAGTACAAACACAACACTGAATAAGCATTGTTCACAGCACATCGCTGCAGAAAAGTCTATTAAAATTACCAACACAGCAGTCGTCTCCAATTCTGAGGGGAGGGTTCGACGACAGCCGTGAGTAAGGGACCGTTTGAGGTTGTCCAGACACAGTTGTGCAAACTCTGCAGACATTTTTTGTAGGAAATCATTTCTTAGAAAAGTCAGAAGGACTTAAATCCAGGAATTGCTAAAAGTGGCTAACAATAAACAATGTTACTCAAAATATGTACATATTAGCATGAAAAAAACATTAGCAAATATGACAACAAAACAAATTAGGGAAAAAATGTTACACAAAGTTCAAAGAAAACACTCATCTGGTTACACTTATAGTTAGTAAATTAAAAACATAATTAGCCAGATAAAAAAGTCATAGACACAGTGACGACAGTAAAGAATTAATACATGATATCATTGGAAAAAAGGTCATTCCTGATTTATTGGGCAGTTAGTTAACGGTTAGCCTAGCGCCCCTAGAGTCGATTCCATAGTGTAGCAGTTAGCACGCCTGCCTTGGAAGCAGTGTGTCCTGGGTTCGATTCCCAAATATGGGATCAATATAGTACAAATTTATTTTTTTATTTTATTTTTCTATAATGACAAATACAGCAGTCAAAGATTGTGGTGGCCAACAAGAGCATCATCTCCAGCTCCTCTTACCTTGGTGTGAATGTTCGTAGTCTTCAGAGATGTTGTGAAAGTGCTGTGTGATGTGAGGGTGCAGGGTCCCGGAGCAGAAGAAGAATCCTGTCATCTGACTGAGCAGACGCCAGCCCAGAGTGCAACTGGATCTGGTAAGAAAAACGACAAATCAGAAAAAAATGATTTTCTTGACTTTGTCTTTTCCCATCATTACTCCTCATCTTTCTTCATGCCACTGTTTATCTTTACAACGTCAATTTACCTTCATTAATTAGTTGCTCTTATTGACGTACTATTCTTCTTACTCTATGACCTATGACTATAGCTGTACTTTTACTATTTATTATTACTTATGTATTTTTGTATGTTTACTGTAGCTTGATTGTTGTTTGACTGACTCAAATTGTAAGTCGCTTTGAATAAAAGCGTCTGATAAATGTATTGTAATTGACCTGTGATTAATCTGATTATAATCTGAATTAACTGACAGCTGTGTCTTACATTAAACATGTCAAACAACACTTCAGTAAATGTGTCCTTAATGCCAATCTGTGATTTTTGACGTCCTTGTTTACAAATCCATTCACTCACTTGTTCTGGTTGTTGGTGCACTGTTTAATGACCTGGCAGTAGAGTTCATCTCTCAGCAGCTCCTTCTCTTTCCCCATCTGAACAGAACAGAGACATTCTTCCCTTCACTTCTGTTTCTACTGTCACCTATCCACAGAAACACAGTTTGACGGCAGACTCACCAGCAGGATGTGACGCAGACACTCTGCCTGGGTCATGTTGGGCTGCAGCGGAATGTCGCCCATGAACTGCATGACATCTGAGCAGGGACAGAGATGAATTAAAGCCAGAGTGGAATATTCCCTTCTAAGTCTTTACTGACTGATATTGTAGTGGAGTCACTCACTCATGAAGCACTGAACGGACAGTTCGTTGAGTTCAGGGTCGTTGTACAGAATCAGGGACTCCTGGATGGGAAACTGGACGACCAAAATGAAAGCAGTGCAGTGAGTGGGCCAGTCTAATTTATTTAACTAGTCCTGGTGACATGCCTGTCCCCCTTTGAACTGAAGTGTGTTGGAAACTTCTTTAGAACTTCATTAAGGAAACATGAGAATCCTGATGCCTGTGCGTGAGACGCCTGATGACCTTTGTTGTGGTTAGTCGTCAGTGAGGTAGAGCAGGTGGAGAACAGGGAACAGGATCACGTATGGGATTATATTAGACTGGCTTTACCTGTAACCAATTACTGATGTTGTCTTAACACAGTGGCCTCAAACTATCAACAAACAAATATGTGACATAAAACAAGCTAAAGTCCTAAAATCCTGTTTGCAGGATACAAGAAGCAAATACATTTTGTGAGACAACAGTGTTGCTACCTAGCCAAGGTGATCATTCTACTTAAAAAAAGAACAGAAGTAGGTTAAGGTTAGCGCTAAGAAGTGAGAAATTAGCAACTAATACAAACAAAATCCATAAAACATAGATGAAAAGAGGATTTATTTTTACTAAAAGACAGCTAAGAGTTATTAAGGCTAGGTTTTAGCTGCATCTCAGTTAAGCAGACTGACTTAGTTAGTTACAATATTTAAAGAAAGTATAAAGTTTCTTAAAATACAGAAACATTAGCTAAAATAGCACAAAAACAGCAAATATGCAAAAAAACAAAACAAAAAGCAAATAAGAGAATAGCTTAAAGTTAGCTGTAAAACACGATAAATATTATTAATATAGTTTAAACAGTTTGTGACAAACATATACATATACAAAAGCATAGATTTCAGTCATGACCAAAGATATCACAGGTAAATCCACATTAAACTCTGCCTCACCTTAGTGTGTCGGACTGACAGTGCTACGTCCCTCCCATTGGCTGGTCCAGATGACGCTCCCACCCTGTAACAACAACAAAAACCTGTTGCAGTGACCACAACAACCTGACACCAACACCATTAGGATTTCACCCTCATACCTGAAGTACTTCATCGCAAATTTCACCATGGGTGTGAGGACCTCCATGTCGCTGACAGACCCCTGAACTGAGTTCTCCATGGATCCCGGTACAGAGCTCATGACCGCGACCGTGTCTGCTGCAGCCATGGCCGGGGCTGCGTTGGCAGATTTGGCCAACCTCATGCTTTTCCTCCTGGTGTTTCTCCGTTCCAGGTAAAAACCGTGGTAGTCTGGAGCTGCAGACGGTTGAGTGAGCTCCTCTGGGAAAAGACCCGAGCGTCCTCCGGTGGTACCAAAACACCACCCTGGTGGAACAAAGACAAAGTTACTGTTAGTTAGTGTCGGAGCAGGGGTCAACCAAAATAAACACTGCACAACAGCATTTACCTGCCCTGATTAAAAGTCAAACTGCTGTGGTTCATTTCAACAAATGGGAATTGTCATTGATTTGTATCGATTTGTAACCGACTCATGATGCATTGGTACACTAGAGACGGAAGACAACGAAAAGTTGACAGGAGTAGAAGAAGTAAAAGTAGTGGTGGTAGCAGTAGTAGTAGAAGGAGCAGAATTCAAACAAGAGGGAGTACTGAAAGCACAAGTAGTCAAGTAAGATGTCCCAAAAAGAATTCATTTGAAGGAGTTTTAGTGATAAAAGTGAAAAAAAAAACAAGAATAAGAATGAGACTAAGATGGGTGTGATGATGATGAGACAACATCAATGTTAACAATAAAGAGCCAATGACTACATTTCCCAGAATCCATGTGAATCTCTCACCTGGCTGAACTGCGTCCATGGGCAGAAGTTTGATGATGTCACCTTTTTCGAAGGTGAGCAGACTCTTGTCATCTGTCACAAAACTCTTCAGGGCAACGACGTGACCAGAGTTCTACAGAACAAGCATGTTCAGGATAACAAGGTGGCGCTAAAACCAAAAACAGTTACTGGTGCCAATTATAAAGAAGTGTGAACCTTGATGATCTCCCGCAGGAATATTTGGATCATGGCAGTGATCTGAGGAGCTCTGGAGGACTGCAGGACCAGGTCTTCATTCTTCAGCTCCAGCTCCACTTTGTCTGAACTTTGGAGGTTCACTGACAGCAAATCTGCAAAACTACATTCACACAGACCTGGGTGAAAAACATGTGTAAGAAACACCGCAGTCGGTATAAAACATTTCTAAAAGTCTTCCAACTTTACAAGAGGTCATGTGACAGTGAGCGATTACGTCGTCTCATGTGTGGACAATTGCTTTGCGTCTACAGCACCTGTAACTTCGAAGCTGATGCAGATGTTTGGGGTTGATGCCCGACGCTCTGATGATCTTCAGGAAATTAATCCCACGATGAGAGACCCCCAGGAGCTGAGCGTCACCACTGTCCGACTGCAACAACAAAACGCCACAAAAGAGAAAGAGGCAGTTTCACATATCTGCACACGGGGGCGCTACCAGGTATTAAAACCCAGAGAAGAAGACAGATGTTCCGGAAAAACAGGTAAGTGGTTCCTCTGGGAGGAATGTGTAAGGCAGGCGTGATAATGGCCGGACTATGGAACCACACAGTACGTTGGTGATGATGTGGAACAGATACAGTATAACCTGGAATCAGGAACCAGGTGGACTACCTGAATGGAAATGCCCCTCTGACCCCTCCCCCCCCCAACCCCTGACTCTTATTTGTCCAGTTTCCGCCTGTCTCACCATCACAGGGAACAGTCGGCTGAAGTAGTTCTCCCAGTTGTCTCGTGCAGCGATGACGATCCTTTTCTTCATGTTGTCGTCTTCAATGGTGCTGATGGTCGTCCCCACGTTGAAATTTGCTGAGCATGTGTGCAAACAGCAAAACTTAGAGAAAATAAATCTTTAAAAAATGATATCTAAGATTTTTGACACAGGAAATAAAGTGCAAGAGCCTCCAGTGGGATGTCCATGACAAAACTCACCCAGCAGATCCTTCATCTTCCTCCTCTCCTCTCTGCTGATCCTCACACAGCTGTCAGAGTACGCGTCCCTCATTATCTGGAACACACACACACACAATGAGAATATTTAATAGATTGGTTCACCAATAAAGTCAATTACATGAAGCTAAAAACAACAAACCTGTTCACACAGCAGGTTGAGGATGTAGGGCTGGTTGAACATCTCTTTAGGATAGAAGACCTGAAGGCAGACAAACCACGGAGCATCGATTAACAATATCATGGGGTCTAAGTCAAAGCCCATGTGTCGAACTTTACTGATTGTTAGAGGTGTTTCTTAGATCACATTGAAAAATAATTCTGTTTTCCCCTCATAGAGTTCCTGTGTTTCCGTGCATTTATTTCTTACTTCTTTTCTCATGAACAGTTTTCCCGGCATGTTGGAGTAAGAGAAAAAAACACCTGCTGAAAAGCGATGGAGCTTGGTCTGAATGTGGTCGTCCTCTGGCATCACATCTTTAAAACAAAACAAAGACAGAACACAGGGAGATGTCACATGTGCTAAAGAAAAAAGGGAGAACAATATCTATTTTGATATTTTGCAAAGATATCCAAAATGACACAATGTCAGCGTCAACCATTCAGGGACGGAGCCTCCATGGGTGGAGGTTCAGGGATGTCCTCCAGGAAAACGTTGTCCATGGGAGGGGGGGACGGGCTGCTGCGTGGAATAGACGGTGGGTTTGAGGAGCGCTGAGATCCAAACAGTTCCTCAAGGGGGAGCTGCTTCTGCCTCATGTTTTTGGAAATGGACCGAGGACCTCTGGTTGACGGAGGTGATGGCGGACTCTTGGGCAAAGGATTGGCGGGCTTTGCTGGTGGTGGAGGTGGGACATTTTTGGCCTGTGTGTAAAACAGAAAGTGAGAAGTCAGACAGTGGAATTTAGATGACACGCTGTTGCCCCAAAAAAGGATTCAGACATTCAAATAGAAAATTGAACAATTTTATTTGGATTTTCTCAACTTCCCTCCAAATCTCTGAGGCCTCTATAGTGCCACTCAGTGGCTTCCAAACAGAAAAACAACTGATTTATCTTACAATTAGAAAACTGTTTTTTTTTTTGTTGTGACCAAATGACAACATCACTGCCCTGGTCATGTCATTAGGTACAATTCTTTAACAATTTACATGAGCTAGTCTCATGGCAACTCAAAGCATTTCAGTTAGTAAATAGACCTACTCTGACACTGTGTTCAAATGGAAAAGAAAGGTGATTTAAGTGATTCTGTTGGAAGCATGGTTGTTTGACATTTTCAAGAAACTAATGGTCAACTGGGATTTTTCCTGAGAAACCCTGCTGGACAGTTTATAATTAGTGTCTTGTTGTTGAACTAAAAACTTTAGTAAAAACTGTTAGATTCCAACTTCTAACCAGGTTGTAGTGTCTTTTGGGAAAAATACTCCAATAAATCTGACAAATCTGCAGCAGGTATGATGTCACTACAGGTCTGTAAACTCCAATTTCCAATTTTCTGTCATGATGAAGTAAGGCAGCTAGACAAAACCTGGTGCTGATGATGAACCTAATAAAATGGCCGCTGCCAGTGTATATTTTATAGTCATGAAACTGACAGCCTGTTCAGATGAAAAATAAAAATATAAATGAGCACAACATGTAATTTTCACGTATTTCTCTCATATTTGGACTTGTGTGTGTGTGTGTGTGTCCATCTCCCACCTTGTGTGCTGCCACTGGTGCCACATTTTTCAGTTTGTCCAGTGCTTCCTGTTTGGGGTCCCCCCTTTTTACGAAATGTTTTGGAGTGTGCCTGCAGAGAGGACCAGGGGAATGTAAAGTTGTCTCACAACAAGAGCACTCACAAATGATAAGAGCAGCGACACTGACCGGACGGGCTCGAAGGGCTTGACCTCCGGTGGGGGTCGATTGTTGAACTGCCTGATGATGTCTCTGATATGAGACGTGGGCTCAGGTCGAGGCTCAGAGGGCTTGGGCATTGGAGGTTCTGGTTCTTTCACAGGAGGTTCACTGGGAGCCTTTACCTCCGGAACTACGAGGTAGAAAGTATATTTGAACCAGATATATAAATCAAGGTCATCTTTAAACTGACATCTATAGATTTTATTTTTTAAAAGCCTTTTAGTTTCTGATTTTACCCTCAGGCTTTGGGGGAGACGGTGGTGGTGGAGGACATGCTGGTGGTGGTGCCTCCTGTTTAGGTGGAGTGAAGCGGGTCGATCTACGCCTTTGGGGTTTCAGTTCCTCTGGAGGCGGCTGGAGGCCTGAGGGACAAAAAAAGAGAGACGGTGTTGCTCCATGTGGGACTGTCCTGTTTCAGAGTTTCTTCTTCTGTCAGCTCACCCATCCTTTGGAAATATTCCCTCTTCTCTTCAAAAGTATGCAGATTAGTCAGATCTGTTGACTGCAGGCCTCCCTCTGGCAGTGAGACAACCTTTACCCAGGTGAACAGAAACAGTGACATTATTTTTCACATGCAGAGATATAGAAACAGGCTGATTTATTAACACGTTTCACCAACAATTCACAGCCTCCAAATGTTCACAGTACAGATGTGATTCTAAAGACTGAAATAACAAATCACTATCTAATGGCTAACTAATTAACCTCAGAAATAAACATTTTGGATTCATTTTTAGGATTACATTTCACCACCTCCCCTGCAGGTAGTGTTACTGGGACAAAAGACAATGAAAAAGCCAAAAACATATTTACATGTGGTTCCGGTGGTTTGTCGGTAGAGGAACGATTTTTCGCAGGCGATTTGGGACGAACAGGCGGAGGTGATGGAGAACGAGGGGCAGGTGATGGAGAGCGCTCCCCGCTGCGTCGTTCAGACCGGCGTCTCCGCAGCCTCTCCTCCTCCCGATCTTCCCTCTGCCTTCTCTCCTGCTCCTTCTTTTTTTGCTCCTGCTCCTGCTTCTTCTTCTGATCCTTCAGCTGTTGCTCCGTCAGATTCATGGCCGCCATGGTCATCTGCTGGGCCTGTGTGTGCGGCACATCCAGGAGGATGAGGGGTTGAACGATATGGCGGCAGAGTGAACCTTACGTGTGACAAACGTTTGTCTGACCATGAGAAAGGCCTGCTGGTTGATGAGGGCTTGTTGTGTTGCTGCTGCTGCCTGCACTGGGTCAACAGCAGGGGCAACAGGCATGGTGGGCTGGGGCATCATCATCGCTGCGTGCACAGCCATTATAGTCCGGTCAGATATGTTAGATTTAATAATGTTAAGAACATGCCTAGAACTGGTCATTAATGCTATGGGTCTACATATGAGGTCTACATATGGGGTCTACATATGGGGTCTACATATGAGGTCTACATATGGGTTCTACATATGAGGTCTACATATGGGTTCTACATAACAACACCTTGAAACTGCCTGATGTGTGTGGGATTAAAATCGAAAGAATCTTTTCATCGGTTTGTTGAACCGTTACCACAGAGTAATCTGGCAGGTTTGCAGGTTAAATAACAACCAACCTTTTAAAGCCTTGCTTAAATTTTACGACAAAACTCTGTTCCATTGTTTAATAAACTGGAGGGCCTCTTGACCTTTGAATTACAGTAAAGCATAGTCCACACACAGGAAGTGTGAAATTATTCAGGCAACACTAATGAAAATAAAAATAATAATAATAATATAAATTACTACTTTTGTCCACAAACTGAGTGCATCATTCAAATATTAAACCTACTGAGAACTTTTCCCCTGTTTTTTATTATCTAAGATTAAAAAAAAACATTTTTAATGAACATTTCAGGTTAGATTGTCTTCTTTTTTTTAAATCACATTTAAAAGAGTCACTACAGTGTGGTCAAACAGTTACCTGGCATGGTTGGCATCATGGGAGCTGCACCAAAGCTGGGCACTGTAGGACTCATAGGCATTCCCGCAGAGAAAAAAAAAAATGAAAATAAACAAATTTTAAAAAAAAAAAAAAAAAAGATTTCCTGCTTCTTTATCTATGACATCACTGTCTACTTACCCATTGGATAGGTTGGCATGGTCATCGGCACACCTTGAATACACACAGAAACATCCCATTACAGTGTTCATTCATTTTTATTCATGTTTTTGAATCATCATCTGGACAGTGGTGAAAACTGATGCTTGTGTAGAAAACTATGTTTTCCTACCAGCTCCATACATGCCCGGGTGCATGGGTCCGACCCCCCCTCGCCCCCTCATCCTGTGGTTTAACATGGCCACTGTGTCCATATCCTACACACAATCAGTAACAGTCTGTGAAGTAACGGTCAGAGCTCTGTATGGATCAAAGTCTTTGGTGCAGCAACATAAAGAACTAAACCAGCAACAATCACTATCCTAGAATAAAGAAAATTAATGTCATATTGGTTTATTGTAAACTAATGGAAATTAGTTGAAAAATATGTAAAGGTCTCAAAGTTCCTTGTCCTTTTTTGCTGAACAAAAGGGAAAGATTTTAGTTTATGTGGCCTTTTTAGATGGTGAAGAGTCAGTAAATACTAAAGTAGTGATAAATGATTCCTGGATGTCACTGACCGGAGGTCCTTGGTCGAGGACAGGATCAAACAAGTCATCAACGTAGGCAGCCATCTGTCGCCCACGGCCTGAAATGTGATTGACGTCTTAAATAAACTTTTATATAAAGCATTATGAAGAAACTAATTCTTCATCCAGAATCATGAAGCATATTTAGAACGTTCCAGAAGTTAAAACCACAAACCACCTACCTCCGTCATAAGCAGAGAGTCGAGGAGCCTGAACTGGAGGAGCTGGTGGGATGAAATGATCTGGGTTTGGAGCTGGTGACCTGGAGGAACACGAGGACAGACTGAGAGGTGCTAATACAAGAGCGGAAAAAATGTGATTTTATCAGTAATTAACACCCAGACCTGTCACTGTGGCTGAACAGGTAGTCAGTGTTTGCCATTGCTCCTATAGGTGGCGACACTTCTGCTTCAGCTTCTCCCAGCAGGTCCATGACAAAGTCGGAGCCGGCCAGATCAGACCAGCCGTCATCAGTCAAAAGAGACACAGACCAGCCCTGAGCTGCCTCTGTCACACCTCTAACACAGCAGGTGTAGCATTCATCAGATCATCTGTCACCGCTACAGGAAGTAGCATTTAGAAAAAACACGTCTGAAAGTGGGTCGCTACCTGAAAGTGAGAAGCCAGGAGGCCAGCTCCTCACCAGTGGTCCATGACTCCACCTCAGTGGTCAGTTCCTCGTCTGAAAGTGTCCACGTTGGACCAATGTTATTAACGCTCTTTATAAATTCAACTTTTTTTTTTACCCCCACCTGTTTCCTGTCCATCTTACCGTTGAAGGTGTGCACCTCCAGCAGCATGGCACCCTTCCTTTGATTGGCAGTCCACTCCAGCTGGGTGGGAGGGTAAACACGTGACGTGGGAGCGGGGAGCTGCATGGATTTGAGCAGTTTGTGTTGGCACAGTGAGTGGTAGTCTCCTGGTCCATGGTCTGACACGTACCTTCACAGGTGTGGGAAAAAAAACTGATAGTTGGACTCTCAGCTTGTCTCTTCAGCGGGGGTCACTAAATCGCTACACTGATTCAGCAGAGGTTTACCACCAGAGTTCCCGTCTGGTATTTAGGGACCAGGTGGCAACGACCTAGAACCTTCTGGTCACCCCATCTTCACACAACTTCAGACATGTATTTCAAATACTATGTGTAACATAGCAGTGATAACTTCAACCAGTGATAATGAACTGGCAGGCCGCAGGCCAAATCCGGTATGCCCAACCGTCCAATCAGACCCAAGACAGGATTCCAAAATTGTGAGGAACAAAGATAAATAGTACCATGATATCAACTGAGAGTGAAATAACTGTCAGTCATCCCAACCATTTATGAGTTTAATTTTTTTATTTTATTTAAGTGTATTGGCTCCAAGGTATCCAGAAAAATTCTGGACACCTGTTTTAAACCAATAGTAGATTAGGATTTTTATTTTAAATTGAAAACAAAGCTTTTTTGAGCCACTAATCTCCGTGTTCTGTGGATTAATCTGTGCAAAGATAAATCATTACTCCATCTTCACTCTCTACTAATGGCTGTTATTTAACAACAGAAACCCATGTGTAGCACCTACTTCAGCAGATGTTTGTCCAGTGTTGGCGAGGGGACAAAGGCGCTGAGACAGCAGGCCATCAGCAGCCAGCCCCTCAGGCTCCTCTCCTCCTCCTGCAGGCCCCACATCTGGTAGGCCAGCTGGGCCAGAACCTCATCCCTCAACGCTGGTCGACTCTGGGCCCTTTCTATGATGTAGTTGCCCAGGATCTGCTCCTGCCTGCTGCTGAGATCGATCTCACCAGTTAACCTCATGATCTGCGGAGAAAAATAATTTAAAGAAGAAACGGGCTGAGTGAGAAGACGTGAAGTTCTCCTGCAGCCGTGTCACTTCTACAGACCAGTTTGTAGATCTCCAGGGCAGCTCTGGCATCTTCTGGCTCCACAGAGGTGAGGGGCCTCTGCAGGGGGTATCCCTGAGGCTGGCACCATGTGTCCTGAGAACATTCACAGATCAAAAATTAAGATTGACAAGAAAATCAAATTAGGTTTGGTTCTTCTTTTACAGCTGAAAGGACACTGTCTCAAACAGGAACTGCTCTAGAATTGTACTGTGGACCATTATGGGCTTTTACATGATTTTGTTTGCTCTACATTTGGCTTCAAGTCCGCAGAAGGTCATTTAACTGTTTCAAGGAAATGCATTTAAAAAAAATGACAGATGTCATTTGACAGATGACAGATGTTTTAATTCCAAAAATAAGCACTAGGGGACGTACTCACCCTTAAAACAGACTTGGCATAGCGAGAGAAGGGGTATCTGTCTATATCCAGAGGCAGAGTGAGCCTGTGTTTTGCTTTCACATGTGGAGATACAGCTTCTGTGACCTCTGGCAAATGCTGCCGCCCTGGTGGCGAAAAAAAAGAAGTGGGCTCGAATCAAAAATGAAAGTTTGTAGTGCTGCTACAGTGGAGAGTTTAAGGCCAACCTGTTGCAGTGCGCAGCCTGGCCGACAGCTCAGCTGGGATCTCCAACCGTCCAACGTCCTGTCAGTCAGAACAACAACATGAAGTCAACACTTCACAACAGTCACAGGAAGAGAAAAGAGTTGACTTTTTATCCCGCTCCCTGTAATGTGTGCTGTTTTACCATTCCTGGAGACACAGTCCTGTTCTTCGTCACACGTGTTTTGCCTTTTTCATGAAATTCCTAAAATGAAGGTGAAATAAATCAAGTCAAATTTACTCTTTGCCAGCCTATAACACATGTATTCGCTGCTCAGCTTAGGATCGCTGTCTCACACCCATAACCAGCGAACGAAGGTGAGCAGTGTGTTTCTATTCTTGGAGTCACATTCTGTTATATACTCCAACAACACCCAGGTGACTGTGACCCCACCCATTTATAATACATCAGGAAGGTCCAAAAGTCCAGACTGACACACATCTTTTATGCCATGGTGATTCCAAATCATAGCCCAGATGAGAAGCTAACACTATTAGAGAATTATGTGCAAATATTACTTCATTATCCAGAGTGGGTTCTAACAGAAGGCCTCGCCCTGTTCTACGGCCACGTGAGTGGAATCATGACTGACTTACCAAGTATACCTCTGATGCTCATCAAACACACCAACACACTCCCACTGATTATGATATGTTCACTGTGACCCCACCAAAACACACCAATATAAGGTGTGTGTAGAGCAACAACACGACTTGTGTGATCAACACAAACAACAACAACAAACGCCCGTACCTTTAACCACACAGTCTAACCATTTCATTACAGGTCATTTCTAATGGTTTTGTGATTTTTAAATTTAAAGTATAATTGTGTTAGGATTAATGAAACACTTTTTGATTACACTCTGCTACACAATCAGTAAATAAACAGTAAATAAAAATAAAAACCCTTCCTCAGGTAACTTGACTGTCTTCTATCAATCATTTACACAGCAGGAAAAACACAAATTTCCTTTAGCTCTCAGTGTGACCACTGACTGGATTTGGATTAAATAAAAAAAACAAGACTGATGCCAGTCTTCAAACCCTCCTGTATCCAAACTAACAGTTCAGAGTCCAGGCCTCATAAAACCACAGTAGTAAATACACTGACTGTGAAACACCTGAGACAAATACAATGACAAAGTGTGGTAGTTTGAATAAATAAAACAGGTCCATTCTACTGGTTAAAAAGACATTCTGCCTCAGTCACTGCACTCACAGAGACAGGAGCAGCCTACCTGTCTGTAGCTGTCCACCCTCAGAGTCTGAGAACAGGTTACAGGAGGTGGAACTCGAGCTGCTTCAAATTTCAGTGTCAGGGACTGAAGTCCAGGTAGGAGTGACTGGGGTGTGAGTACAATGTGTGCGTGCGTGCGTGCGTGCGTGATGACTATTGGGCGATAAGAGATTTCTTTTCCTAGTGAGTATTTAAATACATAAACCCCTCGGTGTGTTAGCACTGAGGTGACATTTCCTTCAGAAATCCATTTCCATCATCTTTAGTCTGACTTTCTTCATTTGTCTTTCACAAAGCTCAGTGAGAGCAAAGGTTTACAGCTCAGCAAACTCATCAAACTCATCACCTCATTTGTCATGAGGTGACAAAAAAGAAAGAAACCCCAGTCAGAGAGGACATGTATGTTCATATTTACCTTCCTCCAGTGTCGTCTTTTCACCGTGTCTCTAGTTACAAGCATCACTGCCCAGAACTGAGTGAAGGACTGCTTCAGGCGCTTGTAGTACTTCCTGGAGGAAGACAGGGGGTAGCAACACACAGCCTTCAGATACAGTAGATAGATGACGCCAAACTAAGTCAGGCTAACCAAATAGGATTAAGGAGAACTCTGAGCTCCATGCAAGGATATGACCTCCCTCCACCCTCCCCTCATGTCACAGACTAACCAACAAAAAACTGGTTTCATTTATTTATTATTGTGACACATCTGACATAATATCCAAAAACACATTTTGGGCCCCTTTTGGGTATCGTCCTTACTCCACCTGCCGCCCCATAGAGCACCACTGGCTGTTGGGGGTAAGGTGAAGGGTTAGTCAGAGTTTGGGGTTAAATTAGGGCTAAGGTTCTTTGGGTTAGGATGGAGGCTTGGTTTCTAGTATGGGCTAGGACTAGGTCACGGTTAAGGTTAGGGTCATGGTGAGGTTAGTGTGGGGGTCAACATGATGGATGCCCCAAGCTGCTTTAGAAGATCCCTCATTTTATTTGGCTTACAGCATTAGGGTTAGTTCCTTTATATAGTAGCATATATCCAGGTGTTTCACTGTAACGCTGATGCTGTTACCACGCCAACCATCATTCTACACTCCAGATATTTTGGTCTGATTTTTCAAAGTAGCAGTTGATGAATATAGTGCCAACCCCCTCCAGTTCCCATGTTTCCTCATCCTGCTACAGGATTGGAATTTGAATATTATTGAATGAAACCTCCCAATGATAAGTTATTTTTATTTTTTTTTTTTAAATGAAAAAAAAATATTACACACACATCGTTTCAAAATTTTTTATAGGTTGTAAAGAACAGAAAATGGTCATTTGTTGAATTTGTGTTTCAACCAAAACACCTGAACAGGCCTCATTTCATTTCAACATCGGTCCCTTTATTTAATAACAGCATCACAATTCTTGCATCCACTGAACTTGAGCAACAAATACTGTAGATCAGATGAATGCTGTGCAGCCATGAATGGTCCAGATGGATGGAACAGTGTATGGCTGGGGTCCTAACAAGGGTGTGATGTCAGTATGGAGGAGGCGGAGTCATGTTTTGGGCCAAAATTATGGGGAAGAAGAACCGTGGCTTTCCCACGTCACAACAAAAGGAGAGAAACTCATGGCGTGGAGTTCTTAGGGTAAAATGTATCTCAACCTGTTAGGAAACATTTTTCTGCATTTCTTGACCGTTTTCTGTTCATCACAACCTAGAAAATGTTTGTTGTACTGTTGTCCAAAATGATTTGGAACAGAGCATTTAAGTTTCATATTTTTGAAAAAAAAAAAAAAACTTATAGGGAAGTTTGTTCAATACCATTCAAACTATGCTTCAACTGTTAATGACTTCCAAATAATGCCGACTGTCATTTGCGTCATTTAATTTGGACAAATATAATTATTAGAACCATTCAGACTGTGGTGCAGTACTCTGTGTACCTGGCCTGGTGTCCTCTAATGTGACTCTGGATTATGATGGCCTTCTGTCTAAAGAACTTGAAGTTCCTCCTGCAGAGGAACCCTCTGATGTTCCTTTGGATGGTGACAGCAGCCCAGGTTTGAGTGCTGGTCCACTTGTCCTCCAGCTGCTGGTACAGGAACTCCTTGAGGAACACCTGGCACATAAACATGTCCAACACTACAAATATGAGCAAAACAACACCATTTCACACAGGAGTCGTAATGAGGCAGGTGACAGAGACCTTGGAGAGGCCCAGTCTGTAGTGTTCCTTCTCTGCACCAACTGTCTCCAGGAGAGCTACAGTCTGTTCCTGGTCTGACATCTCGGCCACACGCTGGTTCCGCCGAACTGAATATCTGAGAGAGAAGCAACAATGGCTTTACATAACACGTATCTGTGCACCTTATATATTAGAAAGTATAATGTCAATTATTATATCAAAACAAACATCACAAATTGTTTAATGTGGATGGATAAAGTTAATATAATTTAAAACATTAAATCACAAACAGAATCAAGAATAAAAGATCAAATAGAAGACTGTGAGACTCAAAGTAAAGGCAAGCACCAGATTGTTGGTTAATTGATTATTTAATTGCTAAACTTTGCATTTTGGATGGTAAAGTTTAATTCAAAATATACTGTATAAGTGTAGCAAGTCAGATGAGGATTGACATCAAATAAAACGGAATAAAAAAGAAATCAAGACCAAATGTTAGTTAAAGGTATAACAGGGTTTTCAACCTTGGGATCGCCACCCCACTTGGGTTTGCCTGAAATTTAAATGCAGTCAACTGAAATGTTTTGATTAATAATTAAAAAAAAAAAATACTGATGAAAATATTTTTTCAACCTATTACTTTTTTAATTATGGATGAAACACCACACAAACACACACACACACACACACCCACACACACACACACACACACACACACACACACACACACAATCTTTAACAAACTAGTCATGATTATAGATTTAGTTCAAATAAAATGCAGCACCTAAATATAGGTGGCACATCTGGACTGCTGGCTGTGATCATGTGACTGCACGTGACAGCTATTAAAAATGTCTACATAAATGAGGTCACATCTACAAAGGTTGGAAACAGCTGGTTTAAAATGAAATGATACAAGTTAAGATGTCGTCCAAAGTAGATAGAACAAAAACAATTGAAAAAGATGGTAATAACACCGACGCAGACCAGAGCGATTTGAATATTTTCCAAACCTTTCAACAAAGTAGGGATACGCAATCCGTATGGGAAAACCCTCTTTCCTGATGTGGATGGTCTCCATCATTCCTGCGTGTCTCAGCTGCTCTGACACATAGTCCACATCAAAAATACCAGGAAGCTAAACGTAAAAATGTCAAACATCACAATACGGTGGTTGAATGTCCGGACATTAAAATGTGAAACCACTGAGCTCTACCTTGATGAAGTTCGGCTTCACACAGCGGATAAACACCGTTTTGCACCTGGCAGTGAAAGACAAGGCAGATACAGGTTGACAACGTCTTTGGTTTTATTTGTACGTCATGTGACTGCAGAACCGAAGGCGGGTGAGTGACTGACACCTGTTGAGGCGTGTGGTGAGTTCATTCAAAGACTGGAGGAAGTGTGAGGCCACGGTGGAGGTCTGATGGCGGAGGCCTCGCCCTCTCCAGCCCAGCTCCCTCTGCTGGATGTAAGCATCCTGAACCTTCCTGAAGAGTTCTGAAACCATCTGAGGAACACCACTCACATGAGGACGACACAGGGCTTTCTTCTGATTCAGTATGTTTTTCAATTTTTATTACCTTTAACTGACTCTTGGCAAAAAGCTCCACCACCTCTGTCCTGAACTGGTCATGGTTCTTATTCAAGAAATTATGGACCTATAAAATATCAAGTATAATGTACATTTATATCACGCTACAGAAAAAGCTGCCACTTTACATATGGGGTTTTGTTGTACCTGATAAGTTACAGCTCCAGCATAATGATAAATAGTAAAGATTGGATGCGGGTTTTTGGGTTTGGCATAGTAGGGGCTGTTACCATGGTGATAGTGGCACTTCTGCAGGAAGGTGTGGTCGGTGGCCTGTCACAGAGAATATGGAATACATGTATGTATTTATATTTTTTATTGCAAGCACCGGCATGTAAATGTTTCTCTTTAGTGCGTTTCTGTCCATACCTGAGGGAGGCAGGTCTGGTCGTCAAGGATACGGAGGATGCCTTGGGGCCTGGAGGAGATCAGCTCAAGACAGGAGTGAAAGTTCTTGACTGGCATGGAGTACCACTGTATCTGTTCTGCTGCGTACTCCTCCTGCAGTGTACACAGAGTATCCCGACATAGATGGTCATTTTTAGAAAAAGAGAAAGTGAGCTGATCAGGCCTCCGACTAACTGACCTGCTCCTGAGAAATCACTGCCTTGTTGACAAAGTGCTGCAGCTGCTCGTTGGCAAAGTTGATGCACAGCTGCTCGAAACTGTTCACCTCCAGGTCCTTTTAGGAGAAAAAAAAATTAATTCAATGATTTCAGCATCGATCACAACATGTCACGGTAAGTTTCAAGATTGGAATTTGGGAGTCACACCTCAAACCCGTAGATGTCCAGAATCCCGACTGTGCTGTCCATCTCAGCTGGACTCAGCCACTCATTGATTTGCTCCAGCAGCCAGTCAAACAAGACTGAATATAAAGCTTTGGCAATGGCATCACTGTCAGAAAGGTCAAAGACATGAGGACACACTGGTACTGGTCAACAGAAGTTTAAACAATAATATTTAGAGGATTATTACTACAGTACTCAAGAGAACAGACTGGTTTTAAAGAAACTATCTACCTGTGGTATTATTTGAAAATCGTATAAAAAGAGTCTAATATTTAAAAACAAACTTTAAGAACCAGTCTAATGTAGAAAGAAAACAACGTCACTGTAATCTTGACTTTTAATCTTGTTATATTCAAATAGTTGAACAGGACCAATATCCTTTTCTTACCGGGACTCTATGGCACTTTCCACTGATAGGGGGCAGTAGATCCTGTCATACGTCGTCTCCTGCAGAAATCACATGGATGTACATTGAGAGTAATATGAAAAAGAACCCAGAGAAGACTGTTGCTTAAATGGTTGTGACTGACTGTGACTCTGTGTGTAATGACGGTCTGAAGAGCCTCTGCAGAAATCTGCAGCAGAGAACCGACCCTCCTGGTCTCAGCCTCACTGAAGATATGGGACACCTCAAAGGACTCGCTCTGAAACAAAACAACAAAGTGACAGTCCAAGTGTGACACAAACGGTACAAAAGTTTTTAAAGAAATATGCACAAAAGTACAATAAGGAAACCCAAGATAACTCAGGAAACGAGGCTTGTCCCGGTGTGACCCGCATCTTGGCTAAATTGGTTGCACGTTTGTCGAGCCAGTAGTGATGTGTCGTTCGCGAGTGATTCGTTCGAAATGAACGAATCTTTCATATGACTCGTGACTCCCGAGTCATATTAAATATTTGTTCATATTGAACTCACAAATCACTCACTGCGAACATATCACTCTCTGCGAACTAATCTTTCACTGTGAACTAATCTTTCACTACGATCTAATTACTCTGCAAACTAATCTTTCACTGTGGACTAATCTATCATTGCAAACGAACTAATCTTTCACTGTGAACTAATCTTTCACTGTGAAATAATCATTCTCTGTGAACTAATTTTTCGCTGTGAACTAATCACTATGAACGGATAATTCTCTGTGAACTAATCTTTCGCTTCGTTCTCGAAGATTCGTTTCATTTGTCACGTGGAAGAGCTCGGCTCAGCGGAAGCAAACTATGTTGCCTTCAGTATTTAGTGTCGGAGAACCGCAGCCTTCTTTACAACGCCCACAATAGGGCTAAAGCGCCACCTGCAGTAAAACGAATGAAATGATGAATTCAAGATTCGTTCACGACTCGTTCATTTTACTGTTCGAGAGTCAAAGATTCGAATCAATAAAAAGAGTCGGTCTTCCCATCACGACGAGCCAGAATTGAAAGGCGCGGCTGTGGTAGGTCAGGTGTAGATAGTTGGGCTAAGTGCGTAGTCAAGCATTCAATTAGACCTCGGAATCGCTAACAGAATCATCGATGGGAAAATCAATTACAGTCGCGCTTTTTTCTTCTTTCTTTCTAAACGTCAGCTCCTAGTTGAATTGTATGATGAGATTAAACACATTGTAAGTATCCATACTAGTTCAATAATTAAGGTATTGGTGCATCGCTCTTACGCTGAAGGATTAGTTTTACTTCCTGTGACGTTTTGTATGAAGGAAAATAAAGCAGTTGTCTTCGTTTTCCGGTCCAAGGCTGCGGTTAGTAAATACCATGGTATTTCCAACTATATATACACGCCAAACTTTATTAAAATAAATAATAGTCGCTCCACGGAGTTGATATCTGAAGTTCTGACGCACCGTTTCCTGTGGTCAGCTGTGTACCTGCGCCGCAAGGGATCACTGGTGTAACATTCGACAGCCTTGTGTTAAAAAAGTAATTTGTTTATGTTTCAAACATATATATATATATATATATATGTAACCGACTAGAGGCTAAGTTCAGCCAGGATAACCCACTCAATACCTCATATGAGCTGAAGCAGATGTTGCCCAGTTGCAGGATGGAGGACAGAATGGCCCAGATGGTCGAGACCTGGTCAGCATGGAGTCCAATGGTCTCGAAGCACTGGACCAAAATGAGGAAGTCATGTTTGTCCTGCTTTCCATTGAGCTCACAGGCACCACCCTGTGGAAGAAGACACGTTTCTGGACATAAACAGGAGGGAAACATCATATGACAGCTAAGTGACGGTGGGTGATGTGATTTACTTGATTCAGGTAGTAGTAGGTCTCTGCTCCCTGCAGGTACAGCTCCTGTTTGTCCCACTCATTCATCCCTGCCAGCAGCTCGTAGAACACATGGTAATTCCTCTCCTTAGTGGCCTTAAAGGGAAAGAAAACCTGTCACACTGAATATATAATATAAAATAATCTGTAAACTGCAGGATTCCACAGCTTTGACACAAACTTCTCACCTGGAATACAACCCTGGACTTTTCAAGTAGATATTTGGACAGAGATGTTCCGACAACGACCCCACTGTCATTACAAACAGAGGTGACGTTGGAGAGTGAAAGCATCAAAAAGATAAAAATGTAACTTAGAGACTTTTGGTAGGAGGTTACAGTAAATGGACTCACTGGAGGATGTGAATGTGGAGGTACTTGCCGAAACGGCTGGAATTGTTGTTGAGAATTGTTTTGGCGTTTCCAAAACTCTCCAGAATAGGAATGACTTCCATGGGCTGATAATAAAAAAGAGAGAAGACATCTGTGTCAGTGTTTGGTCAGGAACGTTCAATGACACATTCAGTGCAGTTTTGACTGAGACTCACCTGCCGCAGATTGTTGTTTCTGCCCTGATACATGGAGCAGAGGTAGTGGACGATCAGCTTGGTGGCTTCAGTCTTCTGGTGTCAGTCTAGTGTTTACAGCGCTGACAACGGCACAAGGACAAAAGATGGAAGTGTTTGTTAGATGGTTTTCATCTTCTCTTTGACATATTTGAATCTTCATTTCCTGTTAGATGTGATTATATGGTTTTTCACAAACATGCTAATGTGCGTTTGCCTTATTTAAAAAAATATTTTAGTAATGATAATACATTTTTATTCTTTTTAGAAATAGCTTAATGTTAGTCCAAAACAAAGGTATATTATAGTATTGAATGGTAAAGCTATCAGAAGGAATGATAAAATAAAATAAAATATGTGATAAAACTACCAGAGTACTGTGGTTTTTCTCAGTACCTTATAATGATGCACTGCTCCTGTGTGGAGGCCTGAGACTCATGGAAGGCAATGTCAGCCATGGCGTATACATGACTGAGGCAACGAACCAAACACGCAGGGGTCAGTGTTATTGAAAGGTCACAGAAAACGTTTTTGATTCTTGATTCAGTTTGAAAGTTTTCCTCACGGTGGGTTTTTCTGCTGTGCTTTCCCCTGATATCTCTCTCTCTGGTCCTCTGTGTAAATGTTGAGGACTTTAAATGGGTTCATGGACAGAAGTATGTTTCCAACATAGGTCTATGGGAAAAGACACAGTATTTAGTATTTTAAGTATTTATACATTGAGAGAAATTTAACATTTTTAATTTATTCATTTTTAAATTTCACTTCATCAAATGTCATTTTTTTTCAGCAGCTAATTCTAGAACCTGTGCTTTTTACTCTTTTCACTGAAATTCTCTCTGTTGGCAACATGGAAACGTCCTTATGTTTTCAACAAAGGGAGAAAGCTATAGACCACCTATGTCAAACGTGTGGCCCGTGGACCAAATCCTCCCCACAACATCATTTTATGTGGCTCAAACTTGATAAGCCAGTTATTGTTTTTAAATGTAATTTAATTTAGAGGAAAACCGTAGGTAACCCAGAAACTGATTTACATCCAACACACAAGTTGACAAAGTTCCAAACTGGAAGTGATTAAGGTTGATGTTGACATTTTTTAAGTAAAACTCAGAGCTCAGTGTTTCTTTGTACACTGTCGACTAGGAGAACTGGCCTTTAGCTGTACTGCCTCTAGAAGGACATCCAGTATTTAGCTAAGAGGCTGACCTCACATTGTAGCGGTCACTCAGGCTCTGTTACTCTAGCAGTTGGTCAGGATTGAACCTGCAGCTGTACACGATGAGCCAGCAGACTCCCCAACATGAAACTTTTATTACTTTTCCAATGGACAACAATTGATTGGCAGTTGAACAAATGGAGTCCATTAAAAAACAGCCCACAGGTAAACACTGATGGGATGGAGGATGATACCAGAGTGGAGCAAATTAGCATTTTCAGCAGCAGAAGGAAATTAGACTCACATAAATACAGTCACGGTCAAACCTCTTCTTCAGATTCAAAAGCACAGAACTCTCACAGACCTCCCTGGAATAAATAAAAAATATGATGAAAGATTTGGAAATCACTTTCTCTCTCTGTGTGTGTGTGTGTGTGTGTGTGTGTGTGTGTGTGTTACAAACGCACTGCAACTCAAACGCACTGCAACTGTGACAGATCCTCTACTTCGTCCACCTCTACAATTTCCTTGCTACTTGGCATCTTAACCTGAAATAAAAGGTCAACAACAACATAACCAGTCAACATAACCTTTCAGGACAAGAGATTTACAAACATGTAACTCTTACATTTCTAAAGAGTCAATCAAACCCATTTATTTGCGCAAAGATGAGACCTACCATAAGTTGAATATTAGGAACAGTTGTATAAAGCGGCCTCAGTACCTGTGTGCTGACGACTCGTCTCTCTAACATCTCCTGGGTGGGGTCTTCTGATTCCCAGGGGGCCCTGCTGTTGACCTGGCCCCCATTGTCATAGTCCGTCCACTTGTTTAGCTTCTCCACCGTCTGGTGAGGTAACAGCTTCTCTGCACACAGCCAGTCCTAAACCACAGGTGGACCAGACACACCAGGAAACCTCAGTAAGATCTCCCAGAACCTCTGGTTTCCTTCTCTGTCTATCATTAAGTGGTGGCATACCTGAGGATCTCCACTCATCCTTGGGTTTCCAGCCCAGTGCACCTCCGGTTGGGTGATCGTGTGAATGCTGCCCACTCCCATAAGTTGGGCCACTTCTCGGTCCGTCTCCTCCTCGTACAGAGGGCAGACACCTGGCACCATCCCATTTGTTTCCTCATTAGACAAGGACTGAGTGTTTCCACATGGTGCATCCTCTCTCTCTGACTCTGCTTTTCTGGTCTGATTTAGCCCACTACCAATTGTTACTCCTGAAGGAGATTTCTTAGTCAGGTGGATCAGAGAAGGGTCCAGTTTCCCCCTTGCCGTTTGTATTAAACTGCTCCGATTCCCATTGTCCAGGACGGGCCTCCTGCCTCTGTCCTCGTGGTTGGACAGTCCTTCAGATGCAGCACTTGACCCAGGAACCCCTACTGACACGTCCCCGCCTGCTGTTAATGCCCCCACCAGTGGTTTCTTGATGGACTTTAGAATGCTGAGATCTGGTTTGACAGGGAGCACAAGCCTAGCACCTGGTTTTGGAGGTTTAGCTCCTGAAGTGGTGGTCTCTCCTACGGACTCTGTGTTGTCTTGTGGTGTTGAAGGTGCAGGAGCTCCTGGTGCCACCGCAGCTGTCTTTATCTTGCCAATTCTGTTCATCCTGGGGAGCACTACTGCAAATTTGGCTTCTACCTCTTTCTCCTCCCCCAGTACTTCGTCTTCCACTGTTGCCTCAACATCAGTGCCATCTTTTTCCTCGGCCACCTTGACTTCCGAGGAGCTCTTGTCTTTCCTTTGGGTAAGGCCGGTTTTACTGGCAACCCTCATAGCCATCCGGTGTTTGAGGAAATTTCCTTTGGTTTTTTTGGTGCCTTGTTTTTGTTTTATGGCACGGAGGGTCAGCCAGTGAGACACGCCGATGGCTTTGGTCCAAGCAGAAAGCTTCTTTCTGAAGTTCAAATCCCTTCGCATCTTCTTCTGAATCCATCCTGACATTTTGTGGAGAGTTGACATAGACTTCTTTTGAGCCATAAGACCTTCTTTCAGTTTGTTGGACTCAGCACCAGCCATCGCGCTTGTTGACGCTTCCACATCTGTATTTTCTAATTCGTTGGTTGCTTTGTTGTTAAGATGTTTCAACTTCACCTTACGCAGAAGAAGACTCTGTGGCTGTGCTGAACCCCGAGGTTCTTCAGGTTCCACAACATCTTTCAGGTCTTTCTTTTTGGCCTTGAAAAGACTTATTGGCTTTTGCTTTTTAAGGGCTTTTGTCAACGTGGGTTCATCGTCTTCCTCCTCCTGTGCTTCATCATCATCACTCTCTTCCTCTTCTATACCAGGTTCTACTGGAGGATCCTTCTTGTTAAAATGTTTAATTCTACTTGTTAACAAGGTCTTACTTTTTCCAGCATCAATGTTCTTCAGGGAAAGACCAACTCCAGGTCTGGTCTGGTCTTTCCCAGGAGCCACGTTGTCCCTTTTCTCTGGTTTCTTTTTGTCTTCTTTGGCTCTACGTTTGGCTTCCTTTTCCAATCTCTTCTTCTCGGCTTTGGCCCTCTGCTGTTCTGCCTTCTCTGCCTGCTTTTCTGCCCGTGACTTTTTAACCATATTGGATTTTGGTGCTGGTGCAGGTCTAGAGGGACGTGGAGTACGTCTGTGTCTTCTGTTGCTCTGACCAGCCGTAGGTTTCTCAGATTTCTTTTTCAGGATTATCTCTTCATCTTCGGAACCTTCGCTGCTTACAGTCCGAGATTCTTCCGACTTCTCCTCTGCAGCTGATGTCACCTCCTCAGAGTCACTCCTGGCGTTCTCTTTGTCTGATTCCTCATGTGCTGTGTGTTCAGAGTCCCTTTGTGTCCCTGATGCCTCCGTCTCCTCCTCATCACTCTGCTCGCTCTTCTGCGTCTCACCTGCCTCTTCACTACTACCTTCTTCTCTCTCCTCCTCACTTGCATCACTTGAGCTTTCTTCACTACTCTCTGATTCCTCATCACTTTCTGTCTCATGGTCACTTCTCGTGTTTCCACCTTGGGCAGGAAGCTTGTTTCTGCCGCTCTGTGGTTTCACAGGGGCTGCCTTTACTTGGGCTTTCACTTTGGGAGTCTTATTCAGTTGTTTTTTAGGTGGGGGTAAAGCATTTGCTCCCTGTCGTTTATTAGACTTCAATTTATCACCATCCTTGTCTTCTTGACTGGTTACATTCTCACCTTGCTTTTGTTTTCCCTTCTGGGATTTGGGTGGAGGTTGAGATCCCTTGGAGCTGGTTTGCCTTACATTTTTCTGTAGCTTTCCTTTCTTGGCCACCTCTTCCTTCTGTTTTGTAGCAGTGGTTCTAGGTTGTCTTCTGGACGGAGCCATCAATGCCCATTTTATTTTGTCACTTTAAAATATCTATAGAAAAAGCACAAGTGAAATAGTTAGAACGTCCTGTTGACGTAAATCTTTAAACTCAAACTTCAAAAAAAAGCTAAAGTCATATGAACAAGCTGTTCAAATATTAATTGTAGAAATCTTTAACTCATTAAGTGAAGACACAAAACATCATCTTTGTGTTAAATCTCCAGCCTTTTAGACCTTATCTTTAGATGCTGTCTAAATGGTTGCCGTGCAGCCCGAGCGCCCCAGGGGTTTAGGCAGTGAGAGCTCATTTTAGTGTAATATAGCTTACCAGGCTTCTCAGGTGAACAGCGACAGGCATGGCTGGGGGGCTGCTGAGGTGCTCCGGCTTGTCCTCAGGAGCTGGTGTCACTGATACAAATGAGTAAACCAGGGGGGAGTTACAAACAACGATATCCCACCCACTAACGCCACACTGGTGGAGGGGGTGCACAGAGCCAATAATCACATGATATCCTATGCAAGTTTGTGTATGAGGTTTTCCCAGAAACCACAAAACAATGAACCCCCCACCCACCACCAGTGACAAAGGTGAACCCGGCATGCACCATCACACACACAAAGTGGTACCTGAATAATTTAAGCTTCACCTGGCACGGCATGATGTTGTGTTGCTGCCCCCTGCACAGTTGGTAAATGCCTGTGGAGGAAAGGTGAGAAGTTCTGCTGCAATAAGTGATGATGGAGGAAGACGCAGGATTAGTACTTTGGCCCAGTGACCTTTTTTTTTTTTAAATCTGAGATTGAGCCTCCTGGTGTGTACTGGACTGGCAGGATTACATTATTTACTAAAATGTAGGCCATGAGTATTTGGAAAGAACCATGTCTCATCCTCTTGAAGATCATCTTTGTTAAGATGTTGGCAGTGTTGGGTGGTTTGAGGTGAGCCAGGTCCTGCAGAAGCTCAGGTTGCAGTAGAGCCAGGGCAGTTGCTCCAGGTAATTAGTGGACGATGAAGCTCCCTCTATTATGGATGATCAGAACTCTTGGATGTGCATGACAACCGATCTGCTCCTTTATCCGCCTCACTAGAACTGCTTCTGTACAAACACACACACATTCCTATACTGCAGGCATGTTCAAAATCTGGCTCTTGGGATGATCATGGCACATGTTTTTTTAAATCATTTTTTTGTGATGTACTGTGTACACTGTGTATTTTAATAAACCCTAAAAAAGACATCTTCTTGGTTAGCTTTTAGCTATGGTGCTATATTTTTGTACATCATTTAGCCATTTCCAATGAATGACATAATAAAAAATGTTACATTTTTCTAAATGTTTACAAAGCTAACCTGCAACTATAGGGTCATAGTCAAAGCCAACTGTAAGCTACTTCTGTGCTACACTGTAGTTGCTTTTCCCTTGACATAGAGTATATGTAACTTAAATTTCCACTGTACAGTGAATGTTAATTGTGTGTGTATAGAAAAAGCTGATACATTTGAATGAATTTGTCAAAATGTGCTTTTCATTAACTAAACTCATTTGTGAGGTTACAATGAATGTGGTGGTTACATTAAAGTGGGACAAACATTTCTTGTACAAAAAAAAAACATTTAAAAAATGAATGACACATTGCATCAGATTCAGTGTTTGAGAAAAACATGGTGTAATTATTAACATATCAACTGTAGTGTGAAGTTACAGATCCAAAAAAAAACTTCTCGAATCATTTCACTACAAAAATATATTCTTGGTCGATGCTAAAATACCCAGCATTCTGAGACACAGTACCAAAATATTTCCTCGTGTGATCTAAAAAGCTGCCAACCGACCAGTTTCAACAGGCAAACGGGCTACAGTTGGCACATACATACTGTATATGTATATAGATATATATATATATATATATATTAAAACATTTCACTACAATAGCTTACAATTACATTCCTAAATTACATCGTTCATTGCCGACATTAAAAACTGGTTTACATAAAATAATTCAAATAATAATAAAAAAAAACCCATAGGAACCTGTACCCCTGAAAAAGTACAGCATCGTGAGCTATGCAGTAGTGACAAAGTACCTGTGGACAGTGGAGAGTATTAAAACAATATAGTATTTCTAATAAGAGAAGTTGACTGTGATGGAAACAAAAACAAATATAATTTAATCAAAACATGTCCAATTTTATGGTGTTATCATTACACCTGAAAATTATGGAGACAATTTGGGCCAAATAAGAGAAAAAAAATAAAATAAAATTCTATCTTTAGTTTGGGATCACGAGACAACTTTAAAAAAAAAATCTCAACTAAATTTAAAGTCCTACCAGAGTTCATTAAAGTGGAAAGAAAGTAAATGTTTTTCTTTAAAGTCAAGGCACCATTTAAATTAAGAGTTAAATTTAAATTGACAATAAACAGATATTTCAGAACCAATCTATATTAAAACCTCATTAGAACTCACATAAACACAATTAGAATTACTCAAGTAAATAAACCAAAATTTGGAACCAAGATACAGGTGTTTGAAGGGACTGGTGAAGGGGACATACAGTATTGGAAACATTGGCAAAAGTCAAAGGTGTTGTCCCACAATCACTGTCTCTCTAACATGACTGAAGGTCTAATTGTGCTTATAAAATCTGTTTAAATGTCACAAAAAGTTTTAAACTGAGCATCCTGTCTCTGATACAATAACGCTGGATGCCAGTTGATTTTTTTTTTTTTTGAGACTAGGCCCAACATTCAGCATTTATTCTTTCCTGAAAGAATTTTACCTCAAAAAAGGCATAAATTCAGACTCAGACGTTGAACTTTTAAAATATTGTCGTGTGAGACCATGAGGTCCACATTTAGACTTTAACAGGTTTAAATTACTGTAAAATACAGGTGATGATGAAAACTAACTCATTTCACACAGCTAAAAAAAAAGAAAAAAAAAAAAGGTGCCGACAGAAGAGGTGAGAAGCATGGATGAGGATTATTCGCACTGATCACATGTCAGGAATGTTCATCGTGTTGATTTTGGGTTAAAGCAGGTGTGTGTGACCACGTTCTGTGTGTCACTGTAGGCACAGGGTGTTTTTTTTTTTTTTTCTTTTACTCTGTCTACAATATCAGCCCGCAGTCAGCATTGCAGTGCGGTGCACTGAGCTCACTACTGCTACGAGTCCTTTGGCGTCTCTCTACAAGGTAAAAGTTAGGAGTCAGTAGGCGGTCAGTCACTCTGGAGGAGAGGGTTCAAGGGTCAGGGAACAGTAGTGGTTGTGGTTGCATCTCTGCAGAAAGCTTCGGGGACGTCAGCGAGTCAGTTCTGTCTGAGGAAAAACAAAACCAACAAAGAAACATATAAATACATTTACAAAAACCTGATGACATATCAACTCAGTGACTGACAGGTATTTGATAGAATTTGACTTTTTTCACCAGAATTGGAAAGCAGCGATTCTCAAGCTACAGCGTTCTTCACGTGATTCTCCACAAATGACCTAAGGAGAAGAGACAACAGCTCACATTTATCTGATATGTCTTAATATATGACATTTCACAAAGAAAAAGTAAGAAAACAGTTTTACAGTTTTACAAGTTTGGCTTCAACAGGAAGCCCTCAGACCAGGTATTCCCAATGTGTAGTGCGCGAGCTGCCACTAGGAGGTGCGCGAGATAAAAAAAATAATGGCGATTTGGAGTGTTTTCAAGTGGAATTCTTACCCGTAATAAAGACGTCTAAATAAACATTTCCTTTGCAAAAAGTTAAAATCAAAACTGACATGTTAATTTATAAACGTGTTATTTTATTTTAATAAAGAAATACATCCCATCAATTGAAATAAATGTATTTGATTATTTGAAATAAAAGTTATGTTTATCCAGACATTACCAATCAATGCTTTCACTTATTATGAACCTTGGAAATTAGGTTTGTGTTTCATTATTAATAATATTTTTTAACTAATGCAATTCCATTTTGCATCTGAGTTTGCATCAAGCTAGATACCTTTACATACAAACTCATCTTAATTTAACTTTAAATCTTTAGATCTGCAGATGTGACAAAACAATGTTACCATCAACAACAACTTTCTGATACTTACGTCTGGTCTCCCTCCAGGGACTTCTGGATCTCCTGCAGTACCTCTGTAGAAAGAAAGAAGAATGTGAATATGAAGGTTGTTCCAACACATATGATCTGAGTTCAGTCTAATGTGCTGGCATCAGTGGAAGCTGTACAGTGCATGCAAATGAAAGCTTTTTTTTTTTTTTTTTTAAGAAATGAATGTCACATGTTGATGATGTCTGATGTCAGACAGGAGCGGGAAGTTGACAAAGCAGATGAAAGCAGCACACGGTGCAAAGACATTGAAAGTGCCAGACTGAGGAAAATCAAGTACAGTAACAGAGGAGTGTCTGCTGTATAAAACTGTTGTTAAAAAATCATGTCGTAAATAAACAATTTCCTCTGTCTGTCTGTCTGTTACGAGTACTCACTCTCATCATTCAGCAAAGCATGCTCCATAACACGTCTAGCTGCACTTTCTGGAACACAGGTAGCAGGCGATGGGATACATGAACATAATCAGCCGCAGACAAGGTACGTATGTATTCATGTGTGTAAAATCAGACAGTACATGAGCAAAAGCACAGGTAAAAAAAAAAGAACACTGCATGAGGTATTTAGTGTTCGTGAGACGATGGTGCATAAAAACAAACAAAAGAAAATGTCTCTGCACATGCGGCGTTTACCTGCATCCTCACTGTCGTTCCTGGTAATTCTGGAAGATAAAAAAAAAAAAATTTATGAGAGCTATTGTAAAAACATCTATATATAATTTATAATTATATACATAATTAATATATTGATTATCATTTTCAATAATAAATAAAGTTGTTTTTGTCAGACAGTGACCTGTTTTGTTTAGTGGTGCCTGAGTGAGGAACCTCCACCAAGCAGCGAGGTTCCACCACGAAACGTGTCGACAGAGAGAATCGCTCAAACTCGGACGGAGAGATGAGATAGAACCCTGAAGAAAGGCAAAAGAATAACGTAGGATTCACAACTGTGTCGATGGAAAGGGTCTCGTCAGTGTGGAGATGTAAATTCTGGATTTTGTCTTTTGTTTTCACCTTGGCCGTGTTTGGTAAAGACACAGGAAGCGATGCCGCTGACGTCCTCCCGACGTATGCACGGGTAGTGCACCTGCATCTTCACGGTGGGCAGTGACACCACGTGTACGTCACCCTGGTTGGTAAGAACCACCAGGCCACTCTCACCGTAGTCCTCCGAGCGACTGCTGCCAAACCAGGCCACGCCCACTCTGCGTACTCTGGAACCATCTACGGCTGTCAGTTTTAGTTTCATCTTCGCACTGACTTTAGGCAGAGTAAAAACCTGAAAAAACAAAAATAGAAAGGTTAAAATATAATCCACAAATAACAGTGGATTAAGGAACCATGGTTCAAAAATATAGCTGTAAACTAGCTGGGTTTTAGCAGGAAAACCTTTTTTGTCAAGTTAACTAAAAAGAAATGAGGACAAAATTATGGCATTAGAGAAAATGTTAACAATTATAATAACTAAATCTTATAATATTGGAACAATAACAAATCAGGAGATTAGCAGATAATATATTTTTTTAAAAACCTTAGATTTAATGTAACACAGAGAGACACAGAGTTTATGGCTAATCCAGACCTTAAACTGTTCCTCTGAAATGACCAGGAGGTGGTGGGACCCCTGCATTTCAGGTGAGCGAGCCAGGTCGTGGGCCACCTCCAGCGGCTCAGGGAGAGGAGCTCCATGTCCGTCCAACACCACGATCCCAACCACAGGAGCCCGATGCATCAGCTGGATTTCTTTAGCTGGTTTTGAAGATGCACGGAGAGAAATAACAAATCAGCGCTGCAAGAAAACAGAGCTGAATGTACATGTAAAATAATAAAAAATTATATTTTATATTTATTACCCTGATGTGCTGTGATTGGTTCTTCTGCTCTATGCTCTACTGTAGGCACACGGAGCATGTATGCAAACACACAGCCACCATTAGTCCCTGCCCATAGGGAGGGGCTGTTATGGGAACCTAATAACAAAAAATTGAGATACAAGAATTAGGCGTGACGACAAAGGAGGGATTTTTATGGATTGTGTCACAAAGTGAAAAGTGTAACTCACTGTCTGACAGGAAGGTGTCGGCAAAGTAGAGCGTTCTCACGAGGCCGGTGAAAGAATCGTCCGAAGAACGAGCCTCGATCTTTCTCTGGACAGGCGCTAGCTCCATTTCAGCCAGCTCTGCCTCGAGACGAGCGTTGGCATCCTGAATCTGCTCAGAGTGGAGAGAATGAGATCAGAAGGTGGCTGAAAAAAATCCATCCAAGTGGGCTCCCGCAAAAAACAATGACTAACCTTCGCAGCATTGTTGACGTGATGCTTTCTGAGTGACACCCTGCTTCTTCTGATTCTCCTGAAGGACTGTCTGAGAGACTTCTTGATGCTCTTCACCCGGGACAGAGGACCTTCCATGGCCAGCTGATCACTAGGGTTCAGGGTGCACCTTAATCACAGGACAGAAACTATGAACATATGCTGGATTTTAGGACATACTTAAGAGTTTTCTAAAAGTTTTAAGTCTGTTAAAGTGAAGATGACTTTGCTGCTTTGAAAAAGACACTGCATACATAATTTATGTCATTATGTCAGCTCCATGGAGATGAATAATGAGGAAAACCTAATTTCTTAGGACAAATGTGTCATTTATCTCACTGTTGGATCTTACTTGACAAGGACGTTGTTCTTCTGTTGGTAGTCGTAAAGGCCAAAGCCGTGGCTGGTGCCAAAAGCCACCAGCTTCCACTCCGAATGCAGCGTCAGTGCAGTGACTACAGCAGGAGGCTGGCACTGGACCAGGGCGAAGGGCTGGAAGCCCGGAGGGAACATCACAGGCTCATCCCTCACGTCCAGACGAGTGTGACCCTAGTGAACAAGAGAATTACAGACACAAATGGGATCAATGTGGTCATGTGATCAAGCTTTGTTGTTATACTTCAGCGTTGAACATCACTTACCTTCCATCGGAAGCCCTCCTGGCCTTGCAGTAGGTCCACAACTTTGGCCTCCACAGTCTGCTCTGCTGCCTCATCGTTAAGTTCCAGGACCAGAATCTGAAAACATAATTCAACACGTTTTGTGAGAGAAATGTACCTACAGATGATTGTACCAAAACCTGAAATAAGCAGTCTAACATTTAAACCACAATATCTCTCTCACCTGTCCAGCCGTGCCAGCAACAGTCAGATAACCACTGTATTTACATAGATGGATCTTCTGGACGCCGAGCCTCGGGTCATCGCTGTAAGGGTCAAAACACCCGACCTGGATGACAAGAAACAGAGAGAAAGTCACAAATATAACCCATTTACAACAGATAGCTATGGTAAAGGTATCTCAGGATATGTGAAGTCAAACAGTCTGCTGGATTTTAATAACTAAAGTCACTGTATGTGTCTCTGGGCTACTTCATTTTTTTAAATCTTGTTTTCAACTCAAGTTTTCCTCTTTTCTCAAAACATTTCAAAGAACTTGACTTCAGTACTTTGTGAAGCAAAGAAGCAGGCTGTGACCTGCTGCCAAAGGCATCGCAAATTCTAAAAAAAAGATTCTGTTGGATACTCCCAATCTTAATGGAGGACATGAAAAGAAACTGATATTCTTTAAAAAATGTTTTTTTTTTTATTAAGTCATCAATATCAACTGACAAACCTTTCTGAACGGCGGCCACTCTCCTTCTGAGCTCTGGTTCAAGTTATCATTGGGGTCAGAGTCTGTGTGAAAAACTCCAGCTGTGCTCAGCTTGTACATGGGATACAAACAGACTCCTGATGCATCCCAGAAACACACTGTTCCATCTTCATGCCTGTCAAACAGACACACACACATTATATTGTGTTTTGCAGTCTTTAAAGAAAAAACAAACAAAATGTTTTTCATGTTTTTGTATTTAAAAAAAATTCAAGAAGAAAACTGACCCTGTCAGCAGCAGGTCTCTCTGTGGAGGATCTGGGGCCATGTTGGTGCCTCCAGTTATTGGCCATGGCTGCATGAAGAGAAAGGAAATGAAAGTTCAACAATAAGACCCAGTAAATAAGTTCAGTTTACACAAGAGATGAATACCATACATAGAAATGAATACCAGACACTGTTTTGAGAACATTTTTTCAGATGCAGCTGTTTTTGTAGAAGAGCTACTTTTACACTATTTCAAACCTATGGTACCAGGAGCACAAGTGGTCACACTTGACAAAGCTGTAATGTGACTGCTGGAAAATACCAAGTATAATAAGTGTAGAACAAGAAAAGCCAGTGATGCTCATATGGCTCTAAGAGAGATGTGTCAGTGGTCAAACATGTGGTACCTTTTTAGAGTAGTGCGTGTTCTGCAGTTCTCCTGCAGCAAGGATCCTTTCCCAGAGTTTGAGGGGAATGGCAGAAACATGGTGGGAGCAGGTGATGGCGGAGCTGTGGAGAGGGACCAGGTATGGAGTCTGAATGACCGGCCAGCCTTCAGTCTGGAGGTCAATCACCACCAACTCTTCCTCTACCAGGACCACCAGTGCACTGGGATCACCTGTAGACCGAGGGCGACAACGATTATACCTCCTCCATGAAGAGGCACTAAATTTTAAAAACTGTACTTTTGTTCAGTGTAAATTTACACAAATGCCTTCTTTACAACTTTTTAACCAGCACAAGCAGGGGTTCTATACTGCCAGACTACAATCAATCCTGATGCAAATGACACATAGCAGCCAATAGAAATCTAGACCAGTAAAAGTGACAGTAATTACTGCATTTATAGTTGCATCTCTCGAAGATTGCGCTCTGTTCAAGTTAAATTGACCCCCCTCATCCATCCCCCCACTCAGCCATGTAGTTTACAAGTGTATCATAATTTACTTCTGTGTAATTTTTTAGTATTTTGGATCTAAAAAAGATTTTTTTTATTGATCATTGTTTACATACATGCATGCATGCATATATATATATATATAAATAAATAAATTTAGTTTTTCATTTTTGTAGTTTATAAGTGTATCAAAAAAAAAAAAAAAGTATATATGTCTTTACTCTCCCAACTTCCGCAACTAAAAAATATTTGAAAAAAAAAAAACAAAAAAACAACTATAATAGATAACCTATTGAGCACCTTGACTGACACTGTTTGTAAACCTCTTATGAATGACAGTCATTCATTAGCTAACATCCACCAGAGCTCAACTCAGCAGGAGTCAGACCGGTGACTTGTCAACCTGTGAAGTGACTTTGATTTTCCATGTAAGCTGCATTTTTTTAGGTCAAGCTGGACAAACCAGTGGTCAATGAATCAACTCCACTGCTCATTCAAACTACTATTATATTCGTACAGTAAATAAAAATGGACGTTTCTTGCCTGTGTGCCGCGGTCCTTCTCTGATGACGAAGAAGTCAATGATCCTGGAGGTGAAGTCCAGCGCTATGTGTTTTTTACCGTGGATCACTGTGATGCAGTGTCTGTCCCCGTAACTGGCCCTCGGCATACCACCACTGAACAGCAGGAACGGAGGCCTGTGTGCAGCGCAAAAACACACAAAGAAAGTTCAATTTGGTCAAAATCTGAAAATAAAGATCTATGTTAGATAGAGAGCACATCATATAATGAACCAACCCTTCTTCAGTGGGCAGCTGAATGATTTTAGAAATAGCTTTACAAGGGAAATGACCTGCAAGCAAAATGAAAAATTGACATTAAGACTAATAAAGCACAGACTTTGGAGTCTTATAATAATAATAACCCAGATTCAAAAAGGGTTGGGTTCTTACCATAAGGAATGTCTGATTTCTCTTCCTCATCATTTAAATCTTCCTCACCCACCATCCATCGACAATAACTTCCGTCACTGTGTGAACTGAGAACGTAGCTGCCATCGTCTATCCACCATACGCTCTCCAGTTGCTGAAATGACAAGAAAAATATGCATCAAAATAAATCTAGCTTCTTGTTACCCTGATGTGTGAATGTTGAATACGGTACCTGTGTGGCAGGGATGTGCTGAAGGGCACACTGTTTCTCCAGATCCCATATGACCATTAGACCTCGCCCGTAGCCAATGATCACTTGGTTTGGATTGACTGGGTTTTCCTGCAGAGCTTCCACATGTTCTAAATTCCGCCGGCCAATGTAGTCGTCTGGTACACTGAAGGAAAATTAATAATCAGTGGGACAGGCAGAAAAATCACAACGTTTCATCAAATAGGACAGTATGGAATAACAGATGAATTTATTTAATTAAACTTTGTGACCTTTAACAATTTCCCTAATGAAAGTATACTGTAAAAAAAACATTTTGTATATAAAAGAAACCCCACAAAATCAATCCATATTAAAAATATTTGTCAATTTGGTCCAACACCAGTATTTTAGTATAGTTAATTAAAAAAAAAAACAAACAAAAAAAACAACACCAAGTCTTTTTACCCTATTCGGTATGAGAGTTAACAGTTAACCAGAGAAATGATTCATTGATACAATTGGATGGCTGAACAGAAAGTGGTTCCAGTGACTTGATGTGTAAATTACTCATTTCTTGGCATGCTTTCATTCATTTTTCCCCCATCTGTTTAATCTTGAAATCCATTTTTCTGTCATTACTTTTAGCTCACAACTTGAATAGAGCTACCAACCCGTTGGCCACTTGTTCAAGACTAATGTTCCTCTCCTCCAGCTCTCTGAATCCTGGGACCTCGACTATGAAGACATGTCCCCCCTCTGTACCCAACAGCAGCAGCTCCCCAGAGGAGTGGGCCAGCACTGCTGTGACTCGTGTCACACTAGGCGGAGCACTGAGGGGAAGATAGATAGTTTTTTTTTTTTTTGTTTGAAAAATAGAAACTTTATTAATCCAATAAATCAATGTTGACTGATTTGTTTTACCCAGGAGGTCCTGTGAGCATAAACCGTCCAATCTCTAGCAGCTCAGACAGTCCATTGTGGGCTCTTAATGTCCACATGTGCAGACTGTTGTCATCTAGCAAAGTCACCAGCTCAACCTACAAAAACCACACAAAATCAATACAATACAATACAGTGAAAGGTCACACAAAATGTTCATGGCTGTGGTTTACAGAACATTTTAAAAAGGTCCTGTGTGAAGGTCAAACATGTCAGGTCACTGAGCACAACTGCTGTCAATAATGGATTAGAGACAAGAAGATTGGAATTATAGACTGGAAGTCTATTTTACTGTACCTGGTGTGGGAGGAAGTGCACCTGTGTGACAGCAGCGTTCTCATCGTGTAAACCCATGAACTCCACCCCTGGATCTCCATACCTGACCAGCGGTCAAGGACAGATGGCGGTTTTCATTACTACTAGACCTAGTCATCAAAATATTTATCCCCATCACAACAGAACAGTGACTAAAGCAAAGCAAAGTTCAGTCAAATATTACCATATATTAAAGTTTTTTATATTGATATTTGTGACTGTATGATCTATGTTTACAATTGTAGAGTGAAGGATACAGTTTGATGGCTCCTGAGCGGTTACCGATGGCCAGCAGCTTGAGGGAGGGACTGTACCCCAGAGCACTGGGCTGGTGGGGGAATCCATGCTCCAATGTCTGAGGAGGACAGCATGAACAGACAGGAGAGGTTAGAGTGAGCACTGACTAATTTACTTTCCATGTCTGGAGTCTCTGCGTTGACCTGCCTTGTTGAACTGGTACAGCTCCTGTTTGAGTCGATCTCTCTGGGACTCGTGACCGTGTCGCCTAAACCTCTTCATCCTCTCTCAGCATCAGTGAAGAGCCAGAAGGCTCAGTGCTGCACCCTGCATTATAAACAGGAAAACCACACACATTATGATGACTGGTGATAATACTCCAGTGATAATTGTCACTCACAGGGTAACTGAGCTCTGGACATCATACTGTGGTCAGGACTCCACACTGATGGTGTCGTCATCATCACAGTGGTTTAAACAAGGGAACAGTTTATCATGTTTGGCCTAGTCCTCTGAACAAGGATCAAACGATTCACAGGTAAATGACTGTCTTTTGACTTGTCTAGACATTTAGTGTAAACAGAAAAGAATTAAGAAAATGTATTGACTATAGTTTTTTTACTGTATATTTCCTACATATTGAAGGTCCCGTTTCACTTCTTTTAATCTTTATATATCCAGGTTAAGAATGTCTTCCTTAGAAAAAAAAAAAATTTTAGTTTCTCAAAAATCAAAGTTTACAGTCATTCCTTTTTTTTTAGGAATTCTGAGACTTTTCTAAAGCAAATTGTTAGAACACTTATTTGGAGAAAAAGGAAGTTAAGTGTTGATACTTTTTTTTTTACTGACGACAGTACTGACTGACAGTGAATACCAGTGTTGTGACAAAATTAGCAACATAACACCAGAACATGTCATGTTTAATATTTTATAACTGTATTTATCATGATAATAAGCAACGCAGCATTATAATACTTATAAATAATAAATAATTAGCTAACTGGACTGGCTTGTTCTTTGTTAGTAATAATATAGTATTTTTAATTATTATTATTATTATAATTAGTATTATTATCAGTTATTTTCATCATTATTATTTTCTCCAAGCAAAAAAAAAAAATTACCACTAAAAATTACTTTCTTGTAATATGTGTCCATGTTCAAATCCATTCCAAGTCTCTGCCGCCTGATTACTGGGTCAGATCATTACATTTTTATAGCATGTATGTTCTGTGATCTGAATAAGGACTGATATAAAAAAAATAGAGACAGATTAGTCAGTTTACCTGGGGGCTAAAGGGATATGACAATAAAGACATTGTGGAATCCACAGAAGTTAGACGTGTTACCACATGGGCACCACGCCACGTGTCCCCTAAGCCCTATTGTCTTTACTACTTACAGTACATCTGCTGCATGAGACTCAACCTGCTGACCTAAGTCACAACGAACCAGTCTGGATAGACAGGGCAACTCTAATAACAGTCATACATTTGAAACAGGTCACAAGTCTATGACAAACGTCTGGGCTGTGAATCACATTTTTTCCGTCTGAACCAGCTCATTTTCCTCGGTGTAAAAACTGCCACCGCTCGTATCAACAGAGCTGCCTTGACTCACTTTACAAAGTTCAACTTCCTTAGACTTTCCCCACACAGAAGAGGTTTTAATAGTAAATCAAACTCAACTGCTCAACCTGCAACATGAACAATAAATTGTTGGGTTTTTTTAGCTTCAGTATACAGATGTCTTAATCCCACTTGTATCTTTTCGACACAACTAATTATGGTTTTTCAAGTGACTTGAAGAGCACAAATTAGTCATTCACCCAGCCCACTGAACTGTTCGTTTTCAAACCAATTACTAATCAAGGTCCAAGGATGGGAATGAACATTGCAATTATGTACACTGTGGCCTGTCCTTTCTGACATGTGAATACACCTCTGCAGCCACCCACTGTTGTGTCTTGACAGAGAGAACATGAGCAGAGCAGCAACAGTTTTACTCTACAGACTAGAAGTCCCGAAGCTGTCCATCAAGATGACACAAATATAGGGAAACACTCCATAAAATATGTTAATTCTATTGTATCTTATAGCTCCTAGGGTTGGAGCTAAATATGCAAAAGGTAACATAGACCAAAAACATAGAGCCATTTTTTGGACGTACGATTGGCTGACTAGTTCCACATGAACAGCTACACAACCAGAGATTAGTTTCATAAACTAAGACTGTATTTAATGTTAAACACAGAAGTGCAACGGTACTTGGTTGTTTCCAGATTTCAGGGACATGACCCTAGAACCTTCAGATAGCACTGCACTACTTTTCCATTTTGGGGTTCATTAATAATTCTTTTAAAATTACATTTGCTGTCCACAAATTCCAGGCCACTTCACAAACCACTGGTATATGGAACCAGAAGCAAATATGTCATTTTGTTAATAGCAGGGAAGCTAACATTCCTCCTGGGCAGACAAATGACACCAGAGCAGTGGAGGAGGCTGCATATTTGCTGTTCAACCTCAAAGACAGTTTTCCACTGTAATAACCGCTCATTTATTTTACCAAATTGCTTTAACAATTATCGGAATAAAAGGACTTGTGTCATGAGTTTTGTTGTAAACATGAGCAGAAGTCAAAACATCTGGAAATAACATTTGTTCAATTCACAGTCAAAGTAACAATTAGTGCTTGAAAGAACCCAACGAGCCAGTATATAATATAAAGTTCATTGTAGTACTTCCTGAGGTTCCACCTTTGTGTATACTGTATGCTCTGCTCAGCCACCACAGGTTGGTTCATTTACATGGCCAAACAAGGCCATAATTGTCACAGGGAAGTACCTGTCAGCTTCACGGTAATCATAAGACAATGGCGCGTCAGAAGTGAGCACCAACAAAACAGATCTGACTAGTTTCAGCTTCGGTTTCACTTCCATGTCCCCGGGTTCTACCCAGGGATGTGGATTTTCCCTGGAATTCTACCTTAGCAAGAGTGAAGCAATCAACTTGTTGTCAGAAACTGATATTTCTCAACAAGTGCTGCCTTTTGCGTCCTCGTACTGTTTGATCTGCAGTGAGCTCATCCTCTCTGCAGCCAGATAAGATTACATGCAGTGTTTACTGAAGATAGCTAATTCAACCAGGCTTATTGACTATTCTCATCCGTCGTAAACTCAGCCTTTGTCTCCACTGACGACTATCATTTCAACATTCCATGCTCTCAAGATGATATTTGTTACAGTTCATGTCAATCATTTACTGATGTCATCATATTCTCAGGTTCCCAGCATGCCTCCCACGCCAGCCAAGTGTAGCAGGGAGTAAACGGAGGAAGTAGATGTGGGAAAAAAGAAACCTGTCTGAACATGACAACAATAACAACAACAGCCATAAGAAAAGGCCGCTGTTTTAGCAGAGCTGCTACCCTGGCTGTATCTCTTAACAACTTGGAGCTTAATGAGATTCCAGATTGTGTGGCCAGAAAATGTCTGGAATCCAAAACACTCTCTTTGGAGCTTGGGCAATCAGCAGCTATGCTGACACTTGCTGCGAGACAGGAAAAGGTTGAGTGACTGACTCCCAGTGAATCACATGTGCAGGTTCATCCTTCTCCAGAGTCACTATTGTACATGCTTTAAAATGATCTCAAACCTGAAGTCTCAAACTTTGTAAATGTTTGTAAATGTAATTTGATACAACTTAAGATTCAAAAGATGCAACCGAAGAGGAATTTATGCCCGTTAATAATTCGTAAATGGATATGTATACAGTCGTCCGTTGCTGTATTGTGGTTCAGCTGTCGGGCCCTCAGTGCATCACAGGTTTCTAATATTTTGAATGTATTCTTGTTCTGCAAATTTTCCGTTCTATCACGGGTTTTTGCAGGACATTTTGCAACACATACATACAGGTGTATGTATGCGTTATGTATACAGGGTATTCCGAGAAATAACCTGTATGAACGATTTGTGAAATTGTGATGGACAAGTGTTTTGGTTTCTTCTACAGCACACGATGCCTCCTATAGGGATCACAAAGGGTTAATATATACATAAATAATATAATAACTATTGCGTTGTGTTTTTTGCCCTGCAATAGACAAAGAACCACTGTATATTCATTTGGTGTACTCACCAGTAGTGTGTACTACTTTCAGTTAAGCTTTAATAAATTTGCAAAAAACAGGAATGCATGTTTATGTACAGTAGTATATTTCAAACCAAAACAGAACAATTAAACAAAAAGAGATAGTGTTGTCACATTAAACAATATGAACTAAGACAAATAAAAATATTGAGAAATAAAGACAAATTCCTGCATAGATAACACTGCCAGTTGAACAGAAAGTGAACTGAGCTTTTACACCAACAGTGCATTTCAACTGAAGACACCGTCTCACCGATCTAAAACCATCACTGACAAACAAATCAACACACAATGTTGGTTAGATTAGTCTCAAGAAAAAGCAACTTGGTGATAACATCTATCCAACACTGTGCTGCTAAACTGGGAAGGGACATTAGCATATCTAGTGCTAAGGCACAACCTTTTAACATCTTACAATAAGTTTCAATCCCATTCTTATCCAAGATGTTAAAATATCTCCAAACTGCTGTCATTGTTGACCTACTTAAACTACCCCTCAGAGCAATGAGACACTGAACTGTAGTAAGAAAATGCATGACAATGGAAAAAGCCATCACGGGGTATTGTGTTGCTCGATCAGCACGAGTATCGGACACATTACAGATAGTGGTATGAGTATTGGTACATCCCTAATTTTTTAAAAATTGACATACAACTCATTTCCTGGAGAGCCTTTGGTGAATGCTCCTTTTATACCCATGTCAGAATACCTATGATCACCTGTATCATATTTCAGTCTTACTTTGCTTTGGTCACAACTTTTATGTTTTGGGTGCGTTCATTCTTTCTTTGTTGGCATTAACCAAGTAGCAATAGAATACTTTATATGTTTGCCTGTCAGTAGAAGCTTTAATTGACTTAATTTATAGGATTTTAAAGGAGAGGATTGCAAAAATAAAAAATAAAAAATTAAACTGTAACTACACTGGTAGAGTGGGTGCTGCTTGACAGCTGCTGTCAGACATCAGCACAGTCGCAGGGAGTTGGCTTGGACACAGTGCACACACTGTCAAACTTCCTGTGACAACACTCTTGTCCCCATATACACAGGCTGTTGATAAGGGAGCAAAATTAAAAAGTGTTCACGTACAGCCTGGCAACTGCTTTTAAGAGCTGGACACCAATGATCTATTCTTGGTTGCATTAAGACAGGCGGATCGTCTCAAGTCAGCAGTGAATTATAGGTTTAATTTTACCAACAAAATATTTTAAGGTTTTTAAACATATCATGTTTGTCACATTGGCCCACTGCTAAAAGAAAACAAATGCAGACATTGTTGATGCTGGTGTGGCATTTGAGACCGTAAAAGGAAAAATGTTTATTTCTCAAGGGAGAAAAGAACAGTCCCTTGTATCTGCAGGACTACTTGAGTTAAGGCCTTTATCAATCATGACTATAAACAGTGGATACAAAGTCATGCTATAAATTTTTCTTGTCACAGTTTCACTAGGTCCTGAAGCAACATCAATACAACTCAGATTTTTTTGTCTTTCAACAACAGTTGTTCTTTTGTTTGTAGTGACCTACAAAAAATGATAATTTTGTTAACGCTGTTTTGTTGTATTATCCAATAAAACTCCAGGTCTGCATTTTATTGTAAATGGGCAAAAACAGAAACCATTGAAAATAAAGTATTTTTTTCCAAAATCATTGAGTGACTCAGAGTAGAGTAGAACCACACTAAAAACAAGCCTGGTTCAATCTGCAGCCTTTGTTAGCATGTGGAGTTAGCATTGTTAGATGTCGCAGTAGCCTGATGTTTCTAAAATAACAAAATTGATTTGTCACTTTACTATTTCTATTATTTTGTGTCATTAACTAATCTTTTAACATTTAATAATTAGAGATATTTATGTTTTTGTCACTCAGTCCTATATTGACTTTTGGAGCAAACGCTAGGGCTCAATTTTCATTCTGTAAATGCCTAATGCAAAATGGTGACAATAAAGCTAGACTCTAGGAAGTGACCTTATCAAACATTCACACCACACGTTGCATTTGTAAACAATGGGCAGTTCACACTTATGAGAGCAACAAAGGAACTACAGGCAAATAGATACTTCTGTTTCAAATGTGCATAAAAAAAAAGAAAATGCATGGTCATGTGATACTCACTTTCAAGTGTGCTAGTCTGGACTGAGAGAGAGAGAGAAGGAGAGAAAGAAAAATCTGTGGGTCAGCAGGTAGAATCCCACATTAACAGGCAATTTTGAAGAAAGCCATGAGCCAAACAACAGGCTTTGACATGACAATTGATGAGCAACAACATCAAATGTGATCTTTTCCACAAAACCTGACAATAATGCACCAACTAATGTAACCCACACTGGGGAAGAGCCCCAGCACTGTCCTGTACACAAGAGAATAGAGATCTTGTCAGTACTGGGTGTGGTCTGGTGAATATGATATCTTCCACAAACTCATTCTCTCCTTCCTGTAATCAGAAACAGGGAGAGACAGAGAAGACGGCGATGATTGGATTGCTACATTTGGGCTAGGACTAGAGAAATGCCTGTTAAATTTGTTGTAATTAGATTGGGTTGATCGTCGCAGAAGCCTGCAGAGTTTGTCATATTAAAAATATCGATTTCCCACTGTGAAGAACTTCTCAACGGGGCAAAGAAACATTTACCAATAAATTCAATCCAAATTAAATACATATAATAACATGATTAATTATAGATGTTGTTTACCCTGGGTTTTGTTGTTGGACTCTCTTGTGATATTGACTGAAGTGGCTTGGCCTGTTGTGGTCATGCTGAGACAATGAAGATGAAAACAAGGTCAAAATGGCTGCTTGGAAAAGTAACCATGGTGCTCATGTTGCCCTAAGGTGTGTGTGTGTGTGAGATGCAATGTGGGCTGCATACAAATTGGATATTTCTGTAACAATAAAATATATGCAATAGCAACAAGTATTGCTATTGCATATACTGTTACGTGTTTAAGCAGAACTGGAAGTTTACATTTTGCAGATTAAAATACCCAGTATTATACCGAGTACCAAATATTATTAAAATATTAACATTGGTTGCCAGCTATCAGCGCACTTGTGACAGGTCAGGCACTGCACACGTCGCCCTTTTTATAAAGACGCACTGAGTAAAACTCAGGTTCACTTATTAAGATATTAAGGACCGTCTTGTGACCACTTGAGATACATGGCCGATACGCTTCGTGAGGCCAGATAAGAGATTAGGTCTGTCATTGAAAATTTGAAATCTCTGTTTAGCATGAGAGGTGGGAGTTCAAATTGAGGGTAAAAACACAGTTTTGAGTGGAATACATACTGCCTGAAGGATTGACCATGTGACTGAGCAGGAGGTACTTAAGGTACAAAGATACCCTCTTTTGTCTGTTATTAAAATATACTGTATGACTTGTGTTGTTTTGGTTGTTAGCAAGCAACCACACAAACCAAATCCTGCAAGAATAACTTATATTGCTGCTCACTTATTTCTCACTTGGAGCAAAACTCTGAGTTGAGGAATTTGAAAAAAGACTAGTGTATTAATGGGTTACTAAACAAGACATGACAATATTTTTTAATTAGTGTGTATACTATTCATATTTTCAACCTTAACCCTAACATTTAAGAGCTATGATGTTACAGCTGTAGTTAGCCAATATATGTGGAAGGTTAGTTAAATTTAGTTTTAACCATAAATGTGGCTTTTAACTGATCACTTCATTTTTTTCTGTGTTTACTACAGGATTTACTAATGTCACAACACTCCAATCCAATAAGGCCAAAGAAGTGGTTTTAAAATAATGGCAAAAAACTGCAAAATGAATGGTTTCATCCAACAGATATTTAAAGCCACAGACAGCATTGTAATAAGAAAATAATGTGCATATTTTTAGGCAACGCACACATAACAGTTCCTGTATAAATTGCGTATTAGGAGACAAAGACCATAGATTTAGAGCTACAATCCCACTTTAGTAATGGCTTTTCCTTCTTTTAAACTTAGTTTCCTTGTAAGTTTCAAGTACATGGCTGGTTTGAGGAGTACTGCCCTTAATAGAAATTAAACTCAAAAACTTTTGACCTAAAGACAACTGAGAACGAGGCAGATGGAACAAGTGAGCTGCTCAATCAACATACCATGGCCAGGCAGAAAACATTAGCAAAAAAAAAACTGTACTAAGTGATAAGACGAAAAAAATGTGTTCAGAACTAGATGCTCTTAAATGACTTTTTCACCTGAAAACATTTACGACTTAAGGATTTTTATGATAATTTCCAGACAGATACAGTTAATCTTAAAAGAATTCAGCATAGTTTCATGCACGTGCTTGCTATGTACAACAGGTTTTTAGTCTGCAGAGCTGTGTTGTCAGAGTGAAGATATACATCTACATTTGGATTTAAGAACTTCCTCAAAGCAGAGAATTCTAGTGGAAATGGATCATGACAATCAACTGCTTTATCTTCACTTAGATTCCACAGCTCTGCATTCTCTGCCCGGAATTATCAAAGACCACAGTTTGTCTTGTTTTTTCACGTACCTTTTTAACAACACAAATAACAGGAGTCAGCTCTGTAAGGCTAAATTCATTTCTGGCTAAAGCAGACAACATTGTACGCCCATTTATATCAGCTCTTGTCAAAACGTCTTTGTAACGCTTTCTTTGTTTGAAACCATGTCTTCCTAAAATTTACAGCCGAGTCAGCCTCTTTATGGCATAGCCAGGAGGGGGCCATTTATTTTGCCTCCATATTAGTTTCGGGTGGACTTTACCACGCAGGTGGGACGACACTGAACAAAGGCTTTTTGTTTGACAACTCTTGTGCTGATGCAGGTGGAGCCAGAAAGGGACACTGCCCTTGTGTCCTTCAGTATGCAGATTAGTTGTCTTTTTTTGCCAGTTGTAAGTGAAGTTTGAACGGTGTTAAACGTGAGACGAGGTTTTGGGTAAGAGAAAAGAAAGATATAGAGAATATGGAAAGATCTGCACCCCCAATAGACTCTAAGTGTCACTGATTGTTACATGGATAATATAAATAAAGATTTCCATATTCAACCCTCAAAAGTTTCCTAAGGCCCATTTGGAGAGTCCAGTGACCGTTTTATTTTACCGGTATTTTGTGGTTGTATCCCCCAGAATTTACCCTGAAACCTGCCAAACCGGTGAAACACTTGCCCCTGTCTCACACATAACACAAACAACACAACACGATCGCTCATGCTCCAAAGCAGAGCGCTGACTCAAAAGGCTTGGGTTTACTAAGGCACTGACATACCTGCTGAGGAGACACACCTTGTTGGAGTGAGCTCAGCTCAGCTTCAGACGTTTCCGTCATTATGCAATTTCAGTAGGAATTCACTTGCCTTCTACACAACTGCTCTTGACGTGACACATTCTTTTATTGGAGGGGTGCAATGAATGATATGGAAGCCCCATAAAACAATAAAACACATCTTTGAAGAACAAACGTCGACCTTATTATAAACGAGTCAGACGTTTCACGTTAGAGCTTGATGACAACTTAAACAACAACTCTTAGCCAACAACTATATTACAATATGGGGTTCATTACAAAGAGGCACCATATATTGAAACAAACTTTGTTTAAACAGCTTTCACTTTAAAATGACTTAACAAAAACGATACCGAATTATAATACTGGGGTGAAAGTGCAACGTGGAGTCTAAAGAATCGTCAAAATGAGCTACAACAGAGGCGACAGCGTTGAACTGCTTTAAGTTTGAGCGGAATATAAGGGGGATTAGCCAGTTAGCCAGTACCAGGCAACTCCGAAGAGTGATTTCTCGCTACAACAGCGGCGTCTACTCTAGCTCGACTTGGAACCTCTGCGCAGGGTGGAAATGAATATTTAAGTTCAGTCATTAGTTCAGTGAGTGGTCTTAAAAACACCTGTGGCCAGCACCAGCATCTTGTGAACAATAACTGTGCGGGCCCATCTCCTTCTTCTCCAGACCCACCTGATTTAAAACAGCCGTGGCGAAGCCGATGATCTCCTTCGTTCTACGACTCTACCCTCGGCCAGTGTCCCGTTGGCTGGGAGCCCCCGCCTCTTCCACGGTAGAAGAAAATGTGTTGGAACGAACAAAACAGTCACTGGACTCAGGCAATAGTATATTCGTCAAGAAACGTCACGGCTGAGAGACTCAATCCAAGTCCGCGAATCTTGCTCCTTCCGCCAGTGTGGTAGTGTTAGTGGTTGCTGTAGCCTGTGTGCTTCTTCCTGCTGCTAAGGCTAAACTTCATTGGTCTTCAAACTCCGCCCCCGTGGTGCATTCAAGTTCAACACGAACAAGGCAAAACTTTAAATAATTAGCAGCACCTGCTGCGAAGTATTTAATTCTACGTTCGTTCAGCTAAGTCGCACCCAAGACATTAATTGTTGCGATTTTGTAAGCGCAACTTTTAACCGATTACTTCTGTAAAGATAATGTCTTCCGAAAATCCGTCCTAACCGTGTTCAGTAGGAGACAAGGCGAGACTGCAGGCAGGCCAGTGAAGCACACACATCTAAAAAGTCACTTTTGTACTTTGTGCAGAGTGAGGTCTATGATGTGTGGTTCAAATACAGTGTGAAAGAGACATTTTTGCTTTTTTTTAATTAGTTAAATAGCTCCACATTTATTGTTAATTTCTATAAGTAACTTTGAGAAACAACCACAAGCATTTGAAACTTAATTTATTCTCAAAAACATACACACATACAGTACACCATGATTACTTAATTTTCAAAACATAAGCCCAAGATCCCCTGAAAAAATAATAAAGTTTTAAATTTTCTATTCTATTGTAAACTTTATTATAAAACCAGAGTGCAAAAGTTAAGTGCTGCTACAATTAGTCTACAATATATATTTTTTAAAAGAACACCATCTTTAAAATTACAGTATGTTGGCAAATGATTTAAAGGTGTAATTTTTATGGCTCACCCGCAGGAGTTTAATTTTCAGCACAGGACATATGCTAAACCAGTAAATAAGTGTTATTTCAAGTTTCAAGAAAAAGGATTATTTTTTTGGGCACTTTTTCCACCATATTTAGTTGCTACCAAAACATCCTAAGACGAACTGGAATGTTAATATTAAGACAGGAAGAATTGTCATGTACCTCATGTATGACGTGTGATAAAAGTCAAGACATGCTGAGAGGCCGAGCTCCCTGTGTAGGGGTTGTGACGTAGAATGTCGGTGTTCCACTGTATTGCTCCTGTTGAGGAAGACAAACAGTAAAAAACCTGACGTAAAGAGTAAATCAGAATAATATTGACTAAATCACACCGTCAAACATACTTGACACAAACCCAGTGATGTCCATTTCACCTTGTGACTAATGAGTTTAAAGTAAATGTGTTATACATCATAGTTTCAGAACAATACATGCTAATCATATCTCACACACTCCAAGGAAGGAAGTTCAGAGTGTGGCGGAAAAGAGGCTGCATTTGTTTTTGTAACTACACACCTTTCCTCCTCTACAAGGAAACAGCTTTCTTAATCTGTATTTCCTTCCTTTACTGCCTACTCACAAAATAAAGTAACAAGTTAGTAGAATAGGCACAAAATACAACAACTAATTCAAACACACACACTGGTCAATTGAAAGAAAATGCATCGGATGAAAAGCTGGGGGATTAAAATTTGTTTGAGATTATTTTGATGACATTTTAGCTTAGGGAGTGAAGTTAAATATTTGCATAGAAAAAAACTACTACTGCCAGATATACTTCATAATATTTATGTATGTATAGCGATCGAATCAAATCATTGTAGGTCACTATTTTGCCAAAGTTAGGCAAAGAAAAAGTTTCATTAACAATGCCTGATTGTAAAACTAAAAAAAAAAAATATTTCCCTGTGGATGAAAAGTAGATTTTTTTTCTTCTAAATTATAAAGATTTGATTGAGCTATCATTTGGATTATTTTTATTCTGCACCTGTATCATTAACCTCTTTTTGGCAACTCTGGCAATGAGAACATCTTTACAAAAATGATGAAATGAATTTAAAATATGTACCAACACTTCAAAGTGTGGCTAATCAGTTTGAAAGTGTACTAAACATAGGTTTCAGCAGCAAATGAATGATGATGTGATGCCAGTCAGTTGTTTGTAGTGCACCTGTTCTGCTATCCTTCACTTATATCATTGATATTTAGTTTGTTGCACTGTTGACTGTCTTGTCGGTCCTAGTGGAAGTTTCAGTCACATAAACTTTTCTGGTTCCAGTCTGTTTGCCCTGGAGGCGCATGGATGAGTGGAGTGTACACAGAGCTCATATTTTCTGTTTTGGGTCACGGTGTAAAAGCTGAAACTCAAAACCAAGACCCGAACAGAGCAGGTAGAAAATGCTGACAATGCAGTCATTCTCCAACCTGAACACAAATAAAGAACCGGTCTTTCCACACCCACATACACACAAAACCTCTGCTGGTATTATGTGTGTTCAAGGTAGAATTAGGTCAGGAGGGAGGACATGTGTCTATTTGAATAAATTCACACAAAAAAAACAGTGGCAGTATAATCATGAGTCGGCTCACCTTTATATGTTGTATGGTCTTGTTGATGGCACTGGCTTGCAGCAAAGTCACAGTGCATCCACCAAATCCCCCACCTGTCATCCTGCTCCCATACACACCGTCCACCTCCATGGCTGCAGACACAAGCTCATCCAGCTCTTTGCAGCTCACCTCATACAAATCTCTAAAAGGAAGCTGAAAGTTAGGGCACATTCTCTTGTCATTTATGGCTCAGACGTTCACCAGCTGCTTGAACCATACCTGAGTGAGTTGTGGCTCTCTACCATCAGTTTTCCAAACTTCACGTAGTCTCCTTTCTTCAGACTTTCAGCAGCCTGAGCAGTCCTTTCAATCTCCTGGATCACATGTCGCGCTCTTTGATAAGTAACATCCTCCATTTTGTTTTTTGCCTCTTGAATAAGTAAGAATGAAATACTCAAGTTGGTTAAACTTGTAATACCGATTTAAAAATGAAAAGCTGTGGCTGGATTTTTTGAAATGCAATCAGCACTCTGACTGAGACATATTGATTTTTTGTCAATGTTTTTTGGTCCATAGATAGTGGAAAACAGTCAAGTTAACTCTAAAGTCTTGGCAAAACCTAAAAACAATGACATCACTCTAAGTAATCTAGACTATATAAAACGTTAAATACACTAACATTGGAGTTATAAAATTATTTGGTGATTATCCAAATTATGTCCAACAATCCATTACATATTATGTAACCTTGTAACATAGACATAACATACTCTTACACAAGGGCAACAATGGGATTTGTGTGGGATTTGTTCCAAAAATATTTCTAATTTGTGATATGAACTAATTAAAGTAATTTACTTTCCTTTTCATTACATTCAACTATGTATGGCTTCTGAATGAAGCAGTGAACACACCTGCCTCAGATAGAGTACAGGATAATTTCATAAGATAAACATCCTACCTTCCAGATCCTTCATGGTGGCATCCCTGAGACTGTCCTTCCCGAGGATGGAAGCAGCTTCCTCACACTGCCTGCGTCTGGTGGGATACTCGCTACCAGTCAGCGCATGCTTGACATTTGAGTTGGTAATGAGAATGACCAGATGTGGGTCTGCCAGAGGGATAGAGGTAGCTTCAAGTGACCTGAATTAAACAGCAATGATAGCTCTGAATATCCATAAGAACATGTCTTGGCATTTTGTGTGAAATATTGTACATCTACTGTCACTGGATGTTTAAACCACCTGCAGTCAATGAGCAAGGCATGTCCCTCTTTTCCGAGAACGGACACAAACTGATCCATTATACCACAGGGCACGCCAGCGTGAGTGTGTTCTGCCTTCTGACAGCTAAGTGCTTTGGACACATCATCTCCATCATCTGTGAAATTTACCAAATAAACCAAACACATTTTGGTCAAGTTAAAAAAGTGCCAAAAATAGCAGCTTCTGTGGTGACTCTAACTCTAGTGTGATTGTATTCATTGGCATTGACCTGGCTTTAGTTGCTGTAGGAATGTATAGAAAGCCACCTCCAGTGAGGCAGAGCTGGACAGACCTCCCCCCAGGGGGACACTGCTGGCTATTACAGCCCTAAAACCCGGGAGAGGAGGTGCTGAAGGAAACAAACACAATATCATGAACTGTGAAAACAACTCTAGAGGCTAATGAGATGAACACACATCTGCTCCAAGGTTGTTTTTAGTCAGTAAAACTTGTGTGTGGACTTCAGCGTTGGTCTTTTTTACCCCTGTAATGCTGGATGACACCTTTCACATAGTTCGCCCAGCTGGGGGACCCTGGAGGCAGAGGTGATCCATCACTGGGCAGGGTAAAGTCCACTCTCACAGGCTCATCAACATCCTTGTTTGCAGTAACCAATGAGACCTCCCGGTCAGAGGTCTTACTGCCAACAACCACAGTCACCAGAGGCAGTGCCTGACAAAAATCAAAACAGGATATTGGTTAAATATCAAACAGACAAGCACACATCTTATCACCTACTATTCACAGAATGTGATAACAGTGAAAGTCTGATGTTCCACAGCTGTTAATGACAAAAGACCCTATAATGTGATTTTTTTTTAATAACATTAACTGACAACATACCTTTTTGGAGGAAAGGGATTTTAGCTATGTAAGTCAATAATTAACGTAGATTAATGAAAAACAAGTTGATCAAACTATTGTATTATATAAAGAAAAAATCGAACAAATCATTTTCAAATAGCAGAACAGTGTGTTGATATTATGGGGCTTTTAATATTAAAGGCAAACAGATCTGTCAAAGCAAACGGACCAGATGTTCCAATCTAATGAGATGGCTTTAGTCGAGCAACAAAACCTGCATCAATCAGGAAGTGTTCACGGAAATAAAGATGGTTTAGGGATCACCAACAAATAGCGAGTATGTCGCGAAGCCGCAGATACCTGTACCAAAAGGACAATACCACCTCCAAGAATTAAAAAAAAAAAAGACCAAGAAAATAAGAAATTGCATAAAATACCTGTCCATCATAATCAAGAGCCAGTTACTGTATATCCCGAGGTTGATATTCCTAGTTCCATGTTACTCAAAATTGTACAAAAATAAATCAATAATTGATTATTGTCAACCAAATCACGCAAGCTTAAACGTATCTTTATTCAGTTCACTTTTACTCCTTTGCACTGAGAGGGAAATGGCAGTAAGACTTCAAGTCTTCTTTGGGGCGTAAGGACCGTGACTGCCACACTTTTCCAAACTAAGAAATCAGCCGTAACTAATGAGGGAACAAGACATAAACTGAATTACACTGCCATTTAATACGTCCAAAACTGAGCGAGTGACAAATGCCATTGTTTTTTTTCTTCTCTGTTATTTTCTTACCATTGGAAGTACAAATCCCTGGTTATAGTCGGTGTGCTCCCCGATAAGGTTGACTCTCCCGGGAGCACACACCGCCACCAGAGGAGCTTCATTCTCGAACACCTGTCGGTACACACTCCGAGCATCGGTCACCAGCTCGGACACACTCGGATATGAACAAGCCATTGAGCTGAAGGGATCAAATGTTAGCACTAACGGGCGAACGGCTGGGTTAGACGTGCTGACTTCTTACTGAAAGTTGCCAACTACAAAACACTTCCGTATTTACGTCTTATTCTGCTTTGTTTCGACGAGTTTTAAAATTGTAATATTGCCACCTATCGGAATGTAGGCATAAGGGACGCTTTCTTAGATGCTTAGCATGACATTTACTGAAAAACATCAGAATTATACATGCTCTATCTGACCTATATCTTGCTGGAATAGGCCATGAAAAAACACGGACCGAGACAGAAGAATGGTATTTATTACAGACACATACATACATACTTTCACACTGACACTGATTGACAGGTACTGTACACCTGCTTCTTCAGTGGAAACTCCAGGCATTTCTTTTAACATCAGCACAACATAGACAACTGTTAACATGACAGCCATGGTATCAACAGGAAAAGTAAAATAAATGCCAACATGTCAGGAATAATGCTGACCTTTGCTGTAATAAGTAGGTTCATATGAGTATCTTATAGTATTTATTTACACCAATTTTACTGTGTATTTCGACACATGGATGGAGCGTGTTGTTGGTGAAATAAAAAATGATTTAAATCATTTAAACTTTTTGCAATCTTTCTTGTGTGAGCTCAATTAAATTACCTTTAAGCAGCACTATCTACCTATGGTTGAGCAGCAGCGCCCTCTATAGTCAGAGCTGTTTTGAATGGTTTGGGGTCATAAGTTGAATCATTGCATTATTCATAATTATTGTAAAATAAAATAATACCTATTAATATGAAGTCTAAACTCATCCTTCAAAGGTATTTTACTAAAGTACAAAAACAAATCTGTATTTCTCTATGATTTAGGGGTTTAGTTTCTTTTCTCCTTTAATCTGCTGTAACTTGACTTCATCTGATCATCTCATCCTGGTGCAAATATTACTTATCAATTGGAATGCAGTGTAAAGTGAAATACTGTGTAAAAGCCGTAACTCAGAAGAAAAAAAAGGCCCTGCCAGTCATTTGTAGCATCAAAATGATTTAAAATCTGTTGATTTGACCGTGATCCTCTCGTTCTCATGCAAATCTCATTATCGCAGATGAGAAAATATTAGTGTATTAAAAGAAGGCAGTGTCTAAAGAGAAAGCTCCCGCCAGTCTGAACTCTTCCTTCATCAGCACACAGAACAGCCTCTGAGGCAGAGCTTTGGAATAAGGCGCCGGCCGAGGGACGCACGTTCGCAACAGAATCTCCCGTCCAGCTGGAGGAGGGAAGTCAGGAACTTTGTTACTTCCTCCCGTCTGCTTCCTGTCGTTGCCAAAATCTTCATCCAGGGGTGACAGCAGGGCAGCCTGGAGTGAAGGAAAATTTAAATCAGTAATCAGTACTCACAATACTCTGTAGAGATCTGTAGAAACATGTAACTGAAGTTGAAAATAAAGTAGTGAGGTGTTTGAACCCTATATATATATATATATTTGACTATATTCACTCTAGATTTACTATAATCATAATTTGGATTACAAAGCTCAAAGAAAACTTATCGTTGGAATAAACATGAAAAGAGTGAAACCCAGGATTTGCATCCTGAGCCTGAATTTCCTAATTGAATCTTTTAAAAGTAACTTTTTCACTTTTTCATCAGTTGTCTATTACCATTGTTTGTAACCCAAATGTGATGCTAACATGCAGGTAAACCAAGTCAGATGATTACAGTGAGGTCACACTACTGCAGGTAAAACACGTGGTGTCTGCTCCAAGACCAAATAGATTCCATATAATATAATTAGTGATGTTTCCAGGTTTGCATTCTTCAGTGAAGGGTGAACAAAGAGAAACTGAATATAGTGTACACAGTGGACTGGACATGTTTATAGACTTTTTTGACCCCACTGTAAAACAGAAACGGAAGGAATTCTGCCATCTCCTCAGAACAGCACTGAGGAGAGGCAGGAAAAGAAGGATGAAAATAGGCTGGGAATGAGAAGTTTGAGTCTATAATGTAGCACTTTTATAACACACACACACACACTTTTAAAACACTATATATCTACAGTATTTCATGTATTATAATAGAGGGGAAGTACAAAAATAATCAGAAGGTTAAAAACTACAGGAAAATAAAGAACTGCTTTAAACTTGGTGTAAAAGACTAAAATTACTACATGTATATTTATACATATATTTATATATTTTTTTTGCTGTGTCAACCTCCATGTCACCAAATATATCCTGGTTTGCAGTAAAGGTAACATGAGAAGAAACGGAGACAATATAGATTCAGAAGTTACTACTTCAAAAAGATGTAAATTCTGTCTGTACACTGATACTGATACAAACAGTTTGTGTTTATTGGACATTCATTTATGTTTTTCTCTGATTGTCATGTTTTAGTGCAACATGCCAACTGTCAGATCTGTTTGCCCAGTGTTACCTCATCACTGGTGAAGTCACTCAGCTTTAGCCAAGCAGCAGCAGCAGTGGGAGAAACAATAGAAACAATACAAACAAGTGATCGGATGGATATAAAACAAAGACACACAAAAAGGTGCATCACTGTGTCTCAGAAGGGATCTGTGCAACTTAACACTTAACAGACAGATATGGTGTCTCTCATGAGAGGAGCATCAAGTTAACAACTGACAGAGAGAGAGAAAGAGAGAGAGAGAGTGAGTGTGAGAGTGAAAGAAAGAGTAAGTGAGAGTAAGGCAGTGACTGTGAGAGACAGAGTGAGAGAGAGAGATTGAAAAACAGCGACGGTAAGAGTAATAGAGAAACTGAGAAACAGTGAGGATGAGAGAGAGAGGGAGCGAGAGGGCACGGGTGGTTCCTTACCCTCTGAGCACTGACAAACAGCCTGTGGATGATGCTGCCAGCTGGACCCTGACCTGCTCCGAGGACAACGACCTCTGGTTCCTCCAACAGTGAGCTCACAAAGCTAAAAATGTCAAATGTCTCCTGTGATTTTTTTAGTTAGCTAAAATGGTCAGAACGTTTTTGCCTTAACTGAGTCACTTACTTCTCTAGTTCAGCCGCGTCCTCTGCCTTCTCTCCTTCACTGACGGCAAACTTGGCCTTGAGTGAACGAGCTCGAGTGATGGCGATTTCCATGGATATGAGCTGGCTAATGAAGTCCTGAGGACAGAAGATGGTCACAAACACACGTGGTTACTACAGGGTGTAACCATGTTGACCTCCAGCCCTGGCTCCATGACTGACCTCCAACTTCTTGTGGTCTTGGTTGAAGGGGGAGAAGAGTTTGCTGGCCTGTGATGTGGCCTGTTGAATGCTTTTCCTGACTGTTGGAATATCTTCTACTACCTCTGTTGGACCGACAGGGAACACCACAGTGAATACATACACACGTTCTTAATGAGATTTATTACAATTTATCTAACAGTATAAAAGTTTTTGCACCAGTCTGATTATGTGTCATTGACAGAATCAGCCTAGTTTACCTTCATCTTTCAGTTTCAGAATAGCAGCATGGATGATGCAGGGCAGCAGGTGGCGTGTCAGGTCTGCAGGTTTCTGCACTGCCAAGAAATGAAGGACCTAAAAAAATAAGACTTTATTTACACCCGTTCCTCTGCTTTTGGTTTGTCTCCTGTTTCTATCAAACAGGGAGACTTTTCTACAAAGTTTATCCAGGAAAAATCAAAACATTCATTCACAGCTCCCCAGGACAAACAACCTTCTCTGCCTCCTTGGTGTCGTCAAAAAGTCTTCTCTGACGACGAGCCGGTACGACTCGGGCCGTCTCCCACGCTTCCACCCACATGTTTCCTGGGATCTTCATCCTGGGACTGAGGCTGCCCTTCACCACGGTGTTTCCCTTCTCATCCACTTCCTCTTCCTCTACATAGTCCCGAGGTGAATACCAACGCACAAAGTCTTCCAGAACACAGCCGGGGTTGGCTGCCTGTGGAAAAGGACAGAATATTAAAACTCACCAAAAAGTGAAGTTCATAAAACAGCAACAGAACCTAATTTTGACAGATAAAAAAGTAATTAATGGGTAATGAAAGAGCCAGAGTTAAAACTTAAATAAAATCTGGAATGTGAAGTGTAAACAAACACTCAGGCCACAGAGGTGTCTTTACCTTAAAGGACTCCATGTCCGAGAGCAGACAGGCGCTCTGCATGCGTGCACGGAGGTGGGTGCCTTCAGCAGATGTGCCCAGTTTGGCCAGAACCTCTGACTGTTCCTCCAACAGATCCTCCGTCATGGGAGCAGGTTCCTGAAAAGCAAAGTTCACACCTTTGATAAAAATCAAATGTTAACCTTTTGTCTGACTTTCAGATGCTTCACTGTTACTGATATGATCTCAGTACAGGGGCAGAGGTCATGAGCAGTTGCTGCAACTTGTAAAACAATCTCAGAGGAAACACTCATATGACACAGTGACCCAACAACTGCATTTGCATTAGAACAGACATGGGCAATCTATGGTCAGTGGGACAGACACGGCCTTTCTAATCTGGCCCATCAAACACTGCTACAAGGTATTGTAAGGTATGAACAGGCCCATTAGTAAAATGTTGACCCTCATTGACGCTCCTATGAGCCAAAAGGATGATTGCATTTTCAAATCACTTTGCTTCATGTTGCTCCTGGTGCTGATGATTGACCCCAATTGCAGACCCCAATTAAGGAGAACTATCATTCAAGTGAAACACCAATCATAATAAACGTGATTTGACACAAACAATGACTTGAAGACTAAGACTTTTGTGTTGGTGTGGACTTGTGAGCTGCTGACCTGTGTGACAGGAACATAGAGAGGTTCTGCAGAGTGGAGCAGAGTCATATTGTTGTATGGGTGCAGTCTGCCTTCTGCTTTGCTCTTGTTCACTTCCTTTTCTCCCTCAGGTTGCGGGGCTTCAGCCTCCCCCTGGTCACTCAAGCATTCAAAGAACTCGTCCTCACTGTCGCTCCAAGAGTCCCAGGACTTCCCAGGTGAAACCTCCTTTGTGGTGCTGGAGGCAGCAGGGGTTAACGTTGGACACTCGTGACTGCCGCTGTTGTTGGTGCTGCCTGACACCTTGCGCTCTCTGTCCTTGTTTCCATCCTGTGCTTTGCGTGTTTCATCTCTGGCTCTTTTCCTCTCAATGCAGCAGTTCAGCATCTATAGAAGGTCAGTGGCCTCGTGTCAGTCATAGGAGCAGTTCACATACACATAGTTCTGTTTGTACATTTAGAAGAAGTTGCTACACATAAAAAGTGTTCTGTAGCTTTCTTCTGAATATTTCCAGATGCTGCTGTGTCTGTTTGTAGGTGTGAAGACATACCTGAAGCTTTTGATGCAACAGACAACAGCGAAGATCAGGCGGACCACCAGTCAAACTAAGGATTAAAAAATAACCAAATATTATCCACAAACCACTTCTACATCTAGAGAAACCTAAAATGTCTTTTGAATTTTCTTTGTAAAAAAACACAAATAAATTCACCCATAAACAAGGTAGTTGTTTTCCCAGCGGTAACGCAACTCAAGGACAAACTCCTGCCACAGGTGGGCGACAGCGCGCAGCCCACCATGGCTGTAGTTGATGAGACACACACACAGAGCCAGACGGTAGGTCAGGCTGTCACTGGGTGCTGACTTCAGCTGCAGGAAAATATTCTAAACACAGACAAAAGAGAGAGACAAAAACCAAAAGCAAGATGTCTTTATGAATAAAAAAAACACATATCTGGAATATACATTTCTATCTTAAAAAAACTCACATGGTCAGATTGTTTCTCCTGCTCACTTTTCCCACTGGAGTTTGTGTTTGCAGTTTTGTTCTTACTGTCAGGCGACTTCTCTACAGCAGCATCTGGAAAAAGATACTGAGACAAAGAAAATTTAAGAAAAATGTTACGCCTGTAACAGTTTAAAATATTTAATATAATGTGTATTTTACAAGCATTTTTAATCTATATAAAACAATAATGTCATTGTCATTTCACAACATATCTTAGTGTGATGAACTGAGGATGGACAGAAGGTTTGATCAGTTCTTACCAGGAGGACAGAATTAAGCACATCAGCGCTAAGCGGCGACTCATCGTTGCGTTTGTGACGTCGTATGTGTTTCCGGGCGCTGTGCACCATGTTAGAGACCGAAAGTTTAGAGATCGGTACAGCCGCTGCCGGCTCTGTCAGCCTGGACAAGGCTGAGGAGATGTCAGCATTTTCTGATGAAGAAAACAAACAAAAAATCTGTTTGGTTTTCTTCCAGAGTTGGAATTAAAATAAAGAATTAGAGGATTTGTTGACGAATCCGACCTTTGCCCTCATCTTCACCCAGTCTTCTTCCTAGAACCTCCTCTGTCGACTCCTTTCTAGAGCAGAGCCGCAAGAACTCTGTCAGGAGGTCACCTGTTGTTTATGATTAAAAATAAAGGACGATCAGTGTTTGTGAGACAGTTAAGGCTCCACTTTCATATAACATCAGAAGCATTCGAACTAGACAGAAACAAGAATTACTGACACCATGAAAATCATCTTACCCAGTAAACACTGAGGGTTTTCTGCCGTCCTGACACGGACTGACCAGTGAGGAGCTTGGAGAGGGTCGAGGTCACTGTCAGGTCATACATGAAAAAAGCTCATTTCAAATTGTTGAACTATGATATAAAGTGCCACATGTCTGTTTTCTTCTCGCTGTGGTCTGATGCAACATAAAATTGCTTTGAATCATAGCTTTGCTATACTGTCTGAACAATGATGAAGAATAGATAGAACAATATCTTTGAAGTGAACAACAACAAAGACAGTGAACCAATGACACACCCACCTATAGACTTCATTGTCCACAACAATGCCTTCTGTCAGGTTCGGCCAAGTGGTTGCAAGATGAAGCTCACTGAGAAAGACAGACACAATTTGTAGTCTTCCTCATACGTCGACTATCTATGCAAATGCCATCGCTGCCTCGTGTTTCCTGAAGCAAGGGCTCAGGAAATTACGAGTATTTACAGTATTAAAGCCTACCTGATTGGCTCCTCACAGGCTCCAAAAGGAAGCTTCCCAAACTCTACTCCTCCCACCTCACTGCCGAGGAGCGTGTCAAAGTCTGACAAAACAAGGAAATGATGACATTTAAAATGTATCATCGTCATAAAGGCACCGCTTGTATTACCATGCAATACCATACCATACCATACCACTGCAAAATATGTTATGTTCTAATATGTTATACCTGGAGGCTGCTGTGGCCATGAATACTGTTGCCAATCCTGGAGAACATAAGTGAAACGAATGGCAATATTGACAGGTGGCAGAGGCGACAGGCAACAACCCTGAAGAGGAAAAAGTGCTGTGTCATTAACTGGTGTCAGCCGGGATTTATTGTGTGGTCATATTGATATTAAAAAGTGTAAAATCATTAAAACAAACTAAATTGTGAGTTTAAATGACCACAATCCTTAATTATTTTCAGTTGTGGCAAAATTCCTGTATTCCTGTACATTCGACCAGGTTCATCTGAGATGTCTTGCTCTGTATAACTTACTATCTTAGACTTGAAGATGTCCAGCAGACCAGAGAGGTGGTTGTACTGACTCGGTGCCTTCTTCAGATGAACCATCTCAAAGTCAGTGCGAACACCTGGCCCCTGACATTCTCCAGCAAACATCTTTCTCCACTTCTGCTGGACCTGAACAAACAATGGTACCTGGCTGCGAACCCACACACAAATAGGTAAAAATATTAATAATTCAATCGAGCTAGTGTTTTGACCAAACATAAGACAACAAATCATAAAAAAGATTTTCTCACCAGCCACTGTTGGCAAGAGCAATAGAGACTGAGCTGTGGAGTAGATTACATTTTGATTCACTTATGATAGCCTCACAGTTGGCTCCAGGGCTGACCACCACAAATTCTCTTAAGCCATACCTGTGTGTGACATATATTAAAATATATTTTATATTTGATTACATTAAATTAATTGTCTTCAATTTCATTATCAGATCAAGTTATTTAACAACATCAACAACATCTCATTCAGCAGAGACAGACATTTGTGGACTACTAAAGGTTAGAAAGTGGTTAGGAACTGGACTTACCATCTGACCAAACAGTGGGCTCTAGGAGGGAAATCATTGTTCATACACAGAAGGTCCTGCATAGCCACAGGAAACGCATCTGGACACAGAGAGTAGGTTAACGTCAAAAACAAAATACATTTAAGTAGAAAGGACTCTATCTTTTCTCTGTACTATTTTAGACCAGCTCGTAGTTAAAGCGCTGCAAAAATGTGTTGGTACATCTTTTAACCTTCATATTAGGGCTGAACCATTTTATTTTTTGAGATAAAATGCTGGTGTGAAACAATACAATTACCTTCCTCGACATTGTCCTTCACGTCTTCTGTCTGTTGATCTTGTACCAGGACATAATGTGTTATATAAAACTTAAAATCTGCAAAATTAATTTCTTGGGATTTCTCCTCCCAGGTGCTTCTGGTGTATTCACCCTGTGTGTAGAGGATTGACAGATGAATAAAAGACAAGAATAGCAGCACAACAGTTAGCACTGCTGCTCTGTTGAACTCCGAATAATTGCTTTAGACACACCTTTTCTATGGGCAACCTATCTGAAGAATTTCCAATCAACTTCCAGTCATTCAACACTTCTTCGATCCTGGACACAAACCTTTATGTCGATAGAGGAGGGCCGTTATTAGTGGGGATGGGTTTAACAACTGATTTGAATCAAATCTGGCATGAATTTAATCTCAGATTTTTGTCTATCGCCATTAAGATGAGCCTTAGGTAGGTGTTATGTTTCCATTATATATATATATCGGTAAAATCGTGGCGATAAATCGGCAAGATTCCGTGCATTTGAGCAATTGTTAAGACAGCAGCTGGGCTCAGCTGAGATGACAAAATTTGCCTACCGTTCCCACTCTGACGCTGTAGTGAAGTCGGTGATTTCAAACACCTCTGTCTCGGGCTGTAAGAAACAGACAACAGTTGAAACAATTACATTAACTTCTTTAAAATATATAAAACACACCATTATAAGTGTCACTAATAACCGTGGAGTTTGGCCCTTAAAATAATCATAAAATAAACTCACATCACTGTCAGCCGCCATGATGGAATACTGTTGTTGTTGTCGACGTCACTATCTTCTACGTTCACTTCCGGTTTTTGTTCTTCTTCGCTCTCTGGTTTTAACAGCAGTTATGTTTGTTCTGTTGTACTACCGCTACCTCCTGGGGTTAATTTAACCGACTTATCTGGTTTTGCCTAGACGCTAAAGTGTAAACTGAGGTGTAAAGGGAACACAGTCTTTCATAGGTGTCGTGTTGGGTTTTGTTGTTGTTGTTGTTTTGTTTGTTTGTTTGTTTAAACTGAAGCAGAGTCAATCTTCAACTAGACCTCTCTGGTCGAAGGTCCGACCAACAAGCTGTGGATAATCCTGCTGATGGACTTCATGCTGTCTCCTTCCACGAAGGAGCGATGATCTCCTTCAGTGACGTGGACCGATATTCTGCCGTCACAGACCTGAACCAAACCAAAGGCAGAACTCAGTTCACATCAGTAGAAACAAATATGACCATACAATAAACCCCGACTGACACCAGTTATTGACACAGAACTGGTTCCTCCACAGGGTTTTATTGAATCAAACAAAATTATATGGCACCAACCTTTATTTATTCTGCTAGAAAACTCTTCTTATAATAAAATACAATTATTGTGTGTTTTGGTAAATTATCGCGTCTTCATCTCCCAAAAACGAACTATTTAAAGTAATGTTACCAACCCTTTATTATATTGCAAGGTCCTTCTTTTTATAATGGCAAATGATTCTGTGCTTTACAATTGTTAATATTGATATGTCAAATGAAACGATCATAAATTGTGTTGTTAAAAACAGCATATTTTTGTGACTCTCTAGACAAACCATTTACAGATTATTTGAATGCTGCTGGTTCTATTTCCAGACAGCAGGTGGCGACAGAGCGCAGAGAATAAAAACATACAAAAGTCAAAAAGCAAGATTTCTAACCTGCATTCCTTGTTTGACAAGTTCACCACTCACCAGGGGCTATGCCACTGCATCTATTATTGGCACATGTAATGTAAAACAAATTTACACAAACATTGACATCTATTACAACGATTTAGATTTTCAATAAAAAAACTCTACATAATATACGCTGTTTAATATATTGTTATTATGCAAGGTGAAAATAAAGCACAAACCCCATTAGATTCAGTGAGATACATTTATTAGATGTAAAAAATACATATTGTTAATATTTCAACACAACACAGATAGATTATACCATTTACTGTCACTTCCTTCTCCTTTTCACCAGACAGTCGTCCACATTAGCCTTCAGTGCCCTGATCCTTCATAGACTAAAGTCTCAAGCCTCAGACGTCAGGCTGACCATTGATGTATGAGACATGACTGCTGCTCACTTGTTAAAGAAAAGCCGCTCAGATTGTAGGAGTCAGTGACAGTTCGGTCCTAGAAGGAAACACCTTTTTCAACCAAGATCCTGAGACAGAGTTGACCCCAGTGATGCTGTTCAGAACAATTCAGCCCACATGCAGCATGGTGCCTTCATGAGATAGGATCCATATTTTAGAGAGACATTCATGTACTAAACCTGTTCTTTACATTAGCTTGTCTCTATACAGCATACCAGCAACACGTTTTCAGTAAACATCAGATTTATTGTCTACAAAATGTATTTTAAGTCTTTTTTTAATCTTACAACCAGACACTAATCTAAGTGGGACTTGGCAGCAAGCTGAATTCTCTCTGACATCTAGATTAACGTGTGAGTGTTGTTTGCTTTAAAGCTGCACTAAAATAGACAAACAGTTCTGGAGTTCCTAACCTCACCATCACCCATGTGAATAAGGTGCATCAGGAACACTACAGCACACGGTGTTAGCATGCAGTGTCAGCAGCTTTGTTTTATTAGCATTATTCTACAAGTGAAATCTGTGAGGTGTAAACAGAACAGTCTTTTACAGGAATGTCATGTTTTTTTGTTTTTGTTTTGTTTTTTTTTTTAAACTGAAGCAGAGTCAATCTTCAACTACACCTCTCTGGTCGAAGGTCCGACCAACGAGCTGTGGATAATCCTGCTGATGGAGTTCAAGCCGTCACCTTCCAGGAAGGAGCGATGATCTCCGTCAATGACGTGGACCGATACTCTGCCGTCACAGACCTGAACCAATCCAAAGGCAGAACTCAGTTCACATCAGTAGAAAACATTCTCACATTTTTTACAGGCAACATAATGGCCACACAAGTCAGCATTTCCAACCTCTACTGGACTGGACCAAAATGACTGACTATATTTACAGTTTTTGGTACACGTTACCTCACTAAGTTTGTAGTCAGCTCCCAGGTTCTGCTCGTATTCACTGTTGAGCTTTGCTCTCAGTAGTGTTATGTTTCCCTGGTACTTTGTCGAAGGCACATACACATCAGCTGCCTTCAGTTTGTAGTAGAAGGATGTGGCTGCAAAGTGCAGCATTTCCTGGTCGATGTTCTTGTGAGTGGACTTGATCAAGTCCACCGCCACCTTGACACGAGACTCCAGGTCAGACTGAGGCAGAAGAGTCTCCAGAAGCTGCAGGGAGAAAGGGTTATCACTTTACGTATATTCAGAGAGTTTTAATCCAAGTAAAGTCATTCTGGGGTGAGGGTTGGAGGGGGTTGAACATGTACCTTGCTGTACTCCATGCCAGTGAACTGCTGGACAAAGGCACACAGAGCCTCAGTTTCTGCTTCAGAATCTTTCCCAGGAGTCAGTTTAGCTCTGTAGCTCTATAAACACAGCAGCAGAGTTAACACAACCAATTTCATTTAATCAAGTTTTAGTCATCTTTTCTCCCTGTCAAAAAGTTGCCCCATCCCCCCCCCCCCCCACACACACCCTCCACTCCCCTAACCTGTGTGTATGCTGCCACGTAGGAGTGTGAGCCGTCCAACAGAAGCAGAAACTCCACTGTCTGGTTCAGGGTCTGCAGCTGGCAGCACATTTCAAAAGCCACACAGGCACCGAAGGAATAGCCAGCGACCCGGTACGGCCCTTCTGGCTGGAGCTGCCTCACACAGCTCACATAGTGGGCTGCCAGAGACTGGATGCTGTCCAGAGGAGCAGCTGAGAGAAAGAGTGAAACAGGATGAGCTTTGTTGTAAGAAAACACTTTGAAAGGTAAAGGAAACAAAGATGGTTTCAAAGCTGTTTTTTAAGCTTTGGACAGAAAATTCATGACTCAGGAGTTTGTTATATGTATAAACATAAGAAAACAAGTCAACAGTGGCTTCTGAACATTATTAAAAGTAAATCTGTCATAAAGTGTGGATACCTTTTGTACACTGTAAACCATAACAAGGGACAGTCAGCTTGGAAGTGAGGCTCTTAAAGGCGGTAATGGAGCCCTCTATAGGATGGACCAGGAACAGTGGTCTCTCTTGGCTCTGAATCTGGTTTAGTGGTGTCACATTGGGACCATCAGGATTTACCAGAAGCTGGGTCAGATCAGAGTCCAACAAGGATTGAACTGGGTCTTTCTTAGGTTTGGCTTGAGCAGATTCTGAATGGTAAAAACATTATATTACTAATAATAACATGAGGCAGCAGGCTGTAAAATAAAGTATTTTAAAATTTAGGACATTCTATGCGCAGCTCCTGAAAGTACCTCCTCCTGGTTTCTGATTGGCCAACTCTCTCAGCTTGTTGACAGTGAGCTGGCGGATCTCCCTCATTGCCATGACGATGTCGTAGTCGCGCTCCAGAGTCTGTCGGACCTCTACACCCATCAGGGAGTCCAGGCCCAGGTCACCCAGTGAGGCGTCAGGATTCAGGCTGTTCACATCACGTACACCTGTGGGTATAAATAATCAAAAGGTTTAGGAGCAACTTATTTTCTCCATTAAAATTCATAGGAGAAAACAGTTTTCAACAAAATAGTTGCTCTTGAAAAAGAATAGTTCCAGACAGGACCTGACAATGGCAGCAAATCTGAAATAGTCAAGATTTGCTGAATACATTTTGTTGACCACACCATTCTTATTTATTATTTATGGAACTGGCTGTGCTCTAAAAATAAAACCTGAAACTAGTTTCTATTTTCAAAAGATGAGTGTTTTTTCCATTTTGTTCTTCCTGTGGGTTTCTGCAAGGATTAATTCTTGGTGCCCAACCTTTCGAATCTACTTGGTCCTTTTTGGCTCCATTATTAGAAAATTCATTGATAAATTTAATCTGTGATTAACTCTTACCAAGAATGTGGGCTACAGCAGCCACCAGGTCCTTCTGGTTCCCTGCCTCACTTTTCACCACCACCCTCTCGGCGAGAACAAAACTGGACATCACTGGATGCTTCTGACAGAGGAAGCGGTCAAGAACGCTCATGCAGGAGCCGATCCGCTGCGGAAGTGTGCCGCCAATCACCGTCTCATTGTCACCCAGAGTTTCCAGCACCACACCAACATCACCGATGGCACCCCATTGAATCGCCAGTCCAGGGAAGCCATCGTGGTGTCGCTTTTCACACACACGTTCCATTGTAGAGTTGGCAAACCCGTAGTTGCTTTGACCCATGTTGCCGCGCCCACAGCTGACCGAGGAGAAGACCACAAAGTACCTGAGGTCTGGACACAACTTTCTTGTCACTCTAGGGAGAAACAAAAGGGTAAAGTGTGAAGATCAATAAAGATGAACTCAGTGTAAAAAGTTGTAAAATCTTTTTTTGTAAAACAATTATCTTACTTGTCTAAATTAACAGTGCCGTCATATTTGGGTTTGTTGACATCTCCAAAGTCCTGAGGGGTCAGATTCTGAAACATCTTATCCCTTAAGACCTGGGAAGGAGACAAAAGACAATACAATGGAGGCTAAATAAAAGTAGCAGATTATGAATACTGATTAATCAATAATTAATAATCATGAATTGAATAGTAACAGTGTAGGTTATTCTCTCAACTAATCAGTCAACCTGGTCTAAGTCACTTGTAATCACAATCTGACTGGAGGTCAGTTCGATGTGTTACCATAGCAAGGTGGAAGATCCCTCCAACTGGTCCCAGTGCAGTGGCCTCAGTGATGAGTTTCTCTGTTCCAGCCAGCGTTGCCACATCAGTGGTCGACACCAGCACCTCTACATCCTGACTGGTCCATTCCCGTACACGTTTGGCCTGGTAACCTAGAAACAGATAGCATTTCTTCACAGTGGCAGGAAGTGACCAGAGTACAAGGCTTTTGATATCCATGAATCACCACTCAATACCATTCCTGATGCCTGATCTGGACGTCAGGACTAATTTACGGGCCCCCCTCTCAATCAGCCACTGTGCGAGCTCTAGACCAAAACCACCCAGTCCACCGGTGATGATGTAAGAGTGGAAGGAGACACAAAAAGTGCTGGAGATGGCTGGAATCGACAAGGAAGAAGCAGCTTGGACTTCTGTACCTTTTTCTTCATCTCTGACCTTTTTGTAAAGAAGAAAAAAAGTATTACATCATTTTTTAAACCAAAGGCATCAGCCAATAAAACACAGAGGGAGAATAATTATGAATTAAGATAAATATTTTAGAATTTTCATTTTGTTTCCATACATAAAGTTAAAATAGAAACCTACTTGAATGAGAACTTTTCCAATGTGTTTGCCTTGAGCCATGTATCTAAAGGCCTCCTCCACACAGTCCCTCCCAAACACTGTGGTCTTTAGTGGCTGAACTACACCCTCCTCGATGCCTTCCTTCAGCAGCTGAGACACATCCTCCCATTCCTGGTTCCCCTCTTCAAAGAGAGCATCCAACAGGATCCCATGGAACGCTACGTTCTTCAGGAAAAGAGCCATTCCTGGAGAAACACCGACAAGTTGAAGTAACATGGAAAAAAACAACAACACAATAATCTGTGTCCAATTTGAGGCTTCCTACTGACCCAGGGGAGAGTTTTTGGACAAATCATATTTGCCGATCTCAAGGAATCTCCCGTGTCTCGCCAGGCATCGAACGCTGGCCTGTAACTTCTCCTCGGCCAGAGAATTCAGCACCACATTCACACCTGATGACAAAACAAAATGTCAGTTGCACAAATTGTTCAGAATACATTTGTTTGAAAAGTGATTATCTGAAAGTCGACATTTTATTTAATTTCTAATATACTGTATATTATATACTATTTCAACTGAACAGATGTGTTGTATTGACTGGATCAAAGGTAGATATGGACACAAATCAGAAGAACAGAACCTCCACGTATGCAGCAGACTGATTTAAAATGTGTAAAGTCTACGTGAACCGCAGACTATCTTGTTACTGAGGAATAAAAAACAAAACTCACCTTTGCCCTGTGTGTGGTGCAGTATGTGCTGTTCAAAAGAAGTGTCTCTGGAGTTCGCAAAACTCTCAGGTGAGAGTTGAGGGAACCTCTCCTGCAGGTAGGCTTGCTTTTCTGCCGAGCCTAAGATAATGTCCATGACAAATCAAGACATTGTTGTTATGAGAAAATGCCATGTAAAACACCAAACTTTACATGTGAGATATATTTTTAAAAAGCTCAATAGTGTTACATCACAATGACACACACTTGTAAAAAAATAAAAAATGTTAGAAAGGAATTCACGAGCATTAGTCCGAGTGATGTAATACCCACCGACTGTGGTGAAGACCTTGCATTTCTTGCTGAGTGCTATTGCGATGGCGGCCTGGCCGACGCCCCCTGAGCCTGAGTGAATAAGAACACTCTCCCCATGACGGAGTCGGCCGCGAACCACGAGTGAGTAGTAGGCTGTGGCGTAGACCACGGGCACTGAGGCGGCCTGCTCCAGAGTCCTGCAGACATCAGGCAGAGAGAGCATGTTAATATTATGTAGATGATATTTTTCCAACTCAAATTCAATTTTTTGAAATGACAGTTTACTGTACAGCAAAGGTCAGAGTGACAACTAAACAAATGTAATAAAGTTATAGTTTACTAGCCACTATTCACTCTCCACTGGGTATTCATGGTCAGTGCTACACATTTAAACACTATAATTCCTGTTTTAATTCTACCAGTTAATACTCACCAACTCGAGGGAATGTTCCAGAGGAAGTGTTTGTCGGCGTCAACACTTGTCGCAAGACCTCTGGCAGGTAGCAGCCCCATCACACGTCGGCCACTAGGGTCACGACCAGAGAACTCCATTCCAAGCAAGCAGTGCTGGAGAGCCATATCACCTGTGACAAACGAGAGAAGTTAATATTCCATCAAAGCCCGTGGATCAGTTTCATTCGTTTCTGTTTCAGTCTCTAACAACAGACACACACCTGGAATAGCATCTGGTGGTAATTTGCCAGTTGCGAGCATTATGTCTCTGAAGTTGAGCGAGCTGTAGTACACAGAACACTGCAGCTCTTTGGAATTGTTGGCTGTGGACTGAGAGCGCGGGGAGGTGATCCATCGGAGGGAGGACAGGTCGCCCAGGGTCAACACGTTGACGTAGGCCTGCTCTGTCAACTTTTCATTTTGATCTGGAGGTTGGAAAACGTAACCATTAAGATGTTTAATCACACAACAAAGTACAGCATCAAATAAAGACAAAATACCACAGACACTGTATTAAGTACCATTTGCAATAAGCTGGTGTCTGAAGACGCCCCACTGTCCGTCTCTGAACACATTCATGACCAGATCCTTTTCTAGCACCAACCGCAAGTCTTTATGATTTGGCTGGAGACTCGGTGATTTGGATGACTCGTCCAGATTGGACACAAACGCACAACTAGTGATGAGGGAGAAGGGAACAAGGTGAAGGAAAAAAAAAATGTATCGGGGCAATCTTAGTTGCAGTATTTAAGTACTGTATTACCAGTATTTTGAATAGGCACGAACAGCAATGTGTCCTACCGTAATACATGTCCACCAGGCTCCTGCCGTAGACAGTTTACCATTCCCACAATGCCACAGTTGGCCTGTGAAGCAGTCAACCACACAGGGGAGTCTGAAGACTCCTGGGTCATGCCCTGTGACACAGACAGTTACTGGTCATACAACAGTACTATATTATTAAAACTCCTACTCTCTTTGACCTGCTTCTAAAACTAACCTTGAGCGTTTCCACCCAGTTGTAGTCTTTGTCGTCCACAGAGAGGAAAGTAGGCTGTTTTTCTGAAGACCGGCTGCGACAGAGGAAGAGGACGGAGCCATAAAAGGACTTCCTGATTGCCACCACCTTCAGGGAGAGGTCAGAGAAAACCTTTTCCCACTCCACCTTGAGAGAAGAGCGAAATTTAAATTATTTTCTCCAGAATTTCTTACAGCAGGCACCATTGGAAGATAAACAAACAAAAAAAATCATCCTGACACCGACCTGTGTGAGCAGTCCTTTCTGGCCATTTAGGGTCGAGCTGCAGATGAAGGACAACGTCTCACCTAGAGTCTCTCCTTTCAGCAGCGTGTGTAGGAGAAGGAAACCTCCCTGTTTGGCTCCAGAAGACAGATTTCTCACCAGTACTTCAGCGTCTTCTGTCATTGGACCCCAGGCGTGATTACACACCACTAGATCTGCTTTTCCTGCTATTACTCCAGGAGCTGGGCCATTGAGGGGATCCCACTGAGAAGAACTGATCCCCAGTTCATCCAAAGAGGCTTGGTGGGGAGTCAGAAGATCCAGGTCTGCATCTGTGGCAGTGTAATCCACATGTAAGGTGGGCTGGATGTTGAGGAGTGGCACAACACGAGAGAAGACCTGACCCTTGTTGGAGAACGCCTGGAAGAAGTCACAGAAGATAAATGTTAACACTGAAGTGGAATTCTAAATGTGCTTAGTCTCGTTGGACTCTTCAGTCCTACCTCCAAGACTTTGATTTTGCCTGGTGTGCTGTTTTCCATACAGATGTCCACACAGTGTCTGAGTGCCTGGTTGTCCAGCAGCCCCAGCAGCAGACTGTCCTGCAGCAGACAAGACTGTTCCTTCTCCACCAACTGCTGCAGCTCAGAGTTCAGGTTACCATTCAGCTCCAGGCCACACAGCAGGGCTAGCAGCCTCACCAGGCTGGGCTCTGTGTGCTCGTGGCTGGGCACTGGTCCGTCCGACTCCCCCTGTAGTCCAGGTATGGAGAGCTTGACGCCGTGATGGGCCAACTTCAACTGCAGTCTACGGATTAAACCTGTGTGGAGACAGTAGAGCGAGTTAGAAAAGGCATTAGAGAATGTACTGAGGGTGTTGGATTCTGTGATAACTGTGAAACAAAACGACTTGTTCACCTCTGCAAAGTCTGAGCTGTTCAGCAAGTTTTCCATTGTTTGTCAAGCACTCCGTCTCAACATAAGGAACAAAAACAAATTCCTCCAGCGTGGGCTTGTTCTGCTGATTGTCCCGACGGCGTGCAACGGTTGCATGCAGACCAGAAATCTGGACTCCACCGGAAACAATGGTGTCGAGACAACGGTCCACATGGACATCTAGAGCTACAGTGGGCAGAACACAAGCATTTCAAACACAAATCCTGTGATTTATATTGGGAGGGACCGGGTGCGATATTTATTTGCAGCAAGTAAAACATAAAGTTTTTAACCACTGAACAATTTGTTTCCTTTTGAACTGGATTAAACTTCCATTACTGAGAAGAAAATAACTCCTCACTGTGGTTAGGGTTGAGCTGCACTGCACATAAACCCATCATCATCATCATCCACAGAGGTGTGTCGTCTGTATAACACTCCCTTCCTGGTCATTGCATATTTATTTAAACCCAAAGGAAAGAGGTATCATTTTTCAGTGTTCAGGAGTGTCTGAGATGTTTCTGCACGACAAACCTTGATTTTCATCAACAAACTCGCAGATCTTCTCTGTGTGAAGAGACGGATCGATGCACACTGAGCGGATTCTAGTCGGCAGACGCAGGCTTCGGCCTGAAATTCCCATCACGATCATCTGCAGCATGGTGTCCAGGAAGGTCACCCAGTTTCCTGTCCACAATAACTTCCCACTGTCTCCTGAACACAGTCACATGACAAGTACAAGATCAGTACAAAAAAAAAATTAAATAACACTGCTGTGTTGTACATAATCAAATACGCCATACTTTGCCTCACCTGCATTATTGGATTCCAAAATTCCTTGGAAGGTCTTTCTGTATTCATAGCCTCGCAGCCTCAGCTCCTTATAAACATCTGATGATGTGAGTTTCATTCTGGGGTCGCAGTTACTATTGGAGACTTGTCGACTTATCTGACTATGAAAGGAGTCCAAGGCTGCATCCTCTAAAGGCATCACCTTCCCTGAAAAATACATGAGGTAAAATAAGAAATATGCAAACTGCAAACTCTGATTTTTACCACAAATTTGTTTTCTTAGTCATTGTTATATCAGTTACTATGGCTGAACTATTAAATGTTTAGGTATTTTGTGGATTTAGTGAATACAAGAAATTGCAGAACAGCACAAAAAGGTTTCCTTAGGTCTTTTAAAGAATGAACATTTGCGGAATAAACTGCACATAAAGAATACTACCAAATTATAGGTTTAACCTTTTATTTACCTTGGGGAAAATTGTACGTGCTGATTTGGAAAAGGGGTTTGTACACATTAAACCTTCCCTTCACTTTAAGAATGTTTTTAAAAAAGGGTTGCAAAAGAAACACCTGTTGGTAGTTTTCTAATATGTACACATTTACACACAAACCTAAAGTCACATTCACCATTCACAAAACAACCTACCACTGACAGCCAGGTTTCCATTCTCTGAAATTTCAAAGCTTCTAGTAGCAGGCATGAGGTGTACTTCCAACTGGACAGAGCCTGAAAACAGTGTTGAAAACGTAACATTAAATCCAGCAGACGACCAAATGATGACTTCCTTCAACGCAATGGATCTTTGCGCAGTATTTTTCTGACCTGTCTTTGGCAGGATGGTGGCTCTGTGGATGGCCACGTCCTCAAATGTCACAGGGGTGTTCTCCATGACGGCTCCAATACTTCTGGCAAAAGTTCGCCACGCCAGGACCAGGTATCCCGTCGCCGGGTAGAGGACGCGTCCGTCAATGCAGTGCCCAGTCAGGTAGTAGTCAGGTGACTCTGGGTTTATATCTGTTAACGTTCAAAGAGGAGGCCAAAAAATGTTTTCTGTGCCTGAAAGAACAGCAGAAAAGTGTCAACCGTTCGTTCTTTACCAATGTTGTAGACAGTGGCAGAACTGGATCCTCCTGAGCCACAGGGGAAGTCCTCCACCTTGGGGACATCCCATGTCTGGACATGATCCCAGCAGAAGAAGGGTGAGATCGATGGGGTGCCAACAGGCACAGGGTACTTCACGGCTGGGCCAAGGACATTGACATCCATGTTGATGCTAAAGGGTGGGGGGGCATCAGACACAGCTCTCATTACACACTGCCTCCAAAAGCTACTCATATGGTAAACAGCCTGCTACAAACAGAGACAGAGAGTGAGGCATTTCCTCACCCATTCATGTGGACTTTGCCTAAGTTTGACAGGCAGAACTCCAGGTTGTTAGGGTTTCCTTTCTTCATCAAGGGCAGGATGGTACAAGTGGACTTCAGGCTGCGCTTCAGGACAGACTGTGGAGAAAACATGGTTGGAAAAAAAACAAAGAAAGGAAAAAAAAACAAGAGTGTCAGGCTTTCATGAAGACGGCACTGAAGCTGAGGCCTGCGGCTCAGGCGGTCTGTATTTGCTTGTGTACCTGCAGCAGAGCGTTCGGTGCTATCTCCACCACCACGGCGTTTTCAGGAATCTGACCGAGGCCCTCTTTAAAGAGCACAGGGCTCACCAGGTTGTTTACATGATACTCAGCTGAGCTGTACTGAGCCAACGGGGAGTCCCACTGAGTCTCGGGGATGCTGGTGCTGATCCAACGGGAGGTACGTGGCTGTGGCTCTGTGATGACCTTGACACACGAGGTCAAGATTATTTTTTTACAGTAGTTTAAACACATGGGAACTTACAGTAATACAGTAATAGAGACAAGAATCTCTCACTGGATGATGTTTTTATACCAAATCCTGTTCTGGTTTACCAGGTAATTCAGCAGCCTCCGGGAATGTTACCTCATTCCGGTGACATTCTTCATGAGTGTGACGTACCTCCTTGAGTGCAGCCAGCAGGCTCGGAGCGATGGAAGCCATGTAGTAAGAATGGAAGGCCACACCTGAGGTCCGCACCTCTCTGGCAAAAACTCCCTCCTCTTTCAGCTGTGACACAAAGTTAGCGACTGCTTCCTGTAAAATAAACAGAACATACCACCTAAGGAAATGTGTACCTGCTGTCGTCTACATAGATTCAGTACCTTCAGAACTGTTTACCTCGTTACTGCTACATTTATAATACTGTTGGAAACTGAATACTAAGGCTTTCAGGAAGAGTTTGAGTTTCTGCTGATTTAAGTTTGAGTTAGATTCTAAGTCACAGTTCATTCCTGATTCCTTAATTTCTTTCAAACCTGACTGGTTGAAAAAAGCAACAGTTTACGTTTGAGTAGAGATTTGACAGTTTCAGCTACGTGTCTGAGCAGCTGAAAAACAAAATATCAAGTTGGCTTTCAAGTCTGAGAGTGTGAGAATTTAGAGTGGAGGTCAAGTCAGGTCATCAGTTTATTCATGTAAAATGTAAATTAATGATTTGATTAATGAAATCACTGATTTGCTTACAAATATTGATCAAATTTTAAAAAACACACAGCTTAAATGTCCTGCAACATAAGGCTGTTAGGGAATTTCTAACCGTTTTTGATTTGTTAATGTAAATGTGAAATTCAAATATAACCAAGAGTTAAAGAATGTCTGACCTGAGGACCAGAGACAGTGACGGTGCTCTCAGCGTTGTGGCACGCAGGCACAACCCCTTGAGGACACTTGGTCAAACACTCCTCCCAGGTCAAACCTGGAAAACGAATGAACGAATGAAAACCTTCAACATATGCGAACAACAAACAATGAAGTTGGATAATGAAAAAAATCTAAATATTTTTAGTGAAATTTACTTTCCTCTATATTCCGTTAGGGTAAACTATGATATTAAAACAACAGAAATGTTTAGGTATCCAGCTGGACACAATCAAGAACAACAGTGTCAGTCTCATTCTCTCACCAACTGCAGCCATGCCCCCTGGGGGCAGATGGGCCTCCTTAATGCACCGGCCTCTCCAGTAGGCAGCCAAGATGGCTTCACGGTGGCTGAGGGAGCTGTCAGCATAGCTGCAGGCCAGTTCACCCACCGAGTGTCCAATGATGCCGTCGGGCTGCAGACCCAGCGTATTCAGAAGGTCGATCAGAGCGATCTGGAACGAGACCAATCGTACATTTAGGAACACATACTTTCCTGTGTAATATCGAGTAATACACTAAATGTACTACAGTGTTTGCCTTTCAAACACGTTCCTGTTTACCTGGATAGCAGCGATGCCCACAAAGGCATGAACAGTTTCTTCAAATGTGACATCGTCGGCCTCCATGAGAAGTTTGGAGACCACCAGGCCGGTGTCCTTCAAGGCAGCGTCTGACCTCAGGATGGACTCCCTGAAGACGTCCAACTGCATTAGAGTGTGTCCCATTCCTGCCCACTGTGCTCCCATGCCTGTTCACATTGTAAGGACATTTGATATTTAGCAAATTAATACAGTGTTCTCAACAGGGTTCTGAATCAGGTCAAACCAGGGGGGACAAATCTGTGGGGACAAAGATAAACTTTTTGCTCCTGTGTCTGATGACTCACCTGTACAGACGTACCAGAGCGGCCTGGTCGACCCCTGCACCTGCTGCACTTCTGTGACGTCACTCTGGGAGCCCACCAGGGTGAACCCTCTGTAGGGCATGCCAGCAGTGGGTGCTCCTGAGATTTCGTTGAGCAGAGACAGGAAGTTGTCGTCAGATTCCTGTTTCTTCCCCTGTAGCAGCAGTGTCTTCACCGCCTCCTCTGTACGACCGCAGGCATTCAGCAGCCTGGGAACGGTCCTCACTGTGGACACTGCATCCGCTGCTTTCTCAGCTGGACGAAGAATTATATGAACATTTGAGCCGCCAAATCCGAAAGAGTTGATTCCTACAATGCCTCCACGAACAGGTGTCGGCTGGTCGACAACTTGAACTCTGCCATCTGTGAGTGCAGGGATGTCGGTGTTGGGATTGTTGAAGTGTAAGTTGGGGGCCCAGACTCCTCGCTCTAGAGAAAGTATCACCTGTGAAAGAAGAAGTAAAGAAAAAAAAAAGCTCAAAAATATCCTAGCAAAAACACTGTAAGGAATATTAACTCCAATTTAAACCATAACAGAAGTGATGCCTGACCTTTGCGAGGGCGGCCAGACCAGATGCTGGTTCAGGGTGGCCCATGTTGGATTTGGTGGAGCCAATGAGCAGGGGCTCCCGCTTTGTTTCACAGAAGACGCTAACAATGCCATTGACCTCCTGAGGGTCTCCAACCTGTGAGCACAGAGGTATTAAGACATTCAAATGTAAATGTCCAGGGAGCATAAGTAAATAAATTCAATCTTTCTGCATTAAATAAATGTGAAAACAACAGAAAACATTCACTGACCTTGGTTCCAGTACCGTGAGCTTCAACATACTCCACTTGCTCAGGAGAGATGTTTGCCTCCTGGTAAAGAGAACGTACCAGCCGCTGCTGCATCTCACCTGAAGGAAACGTCACACCTGAGGAACAGAGAAGAGGACGTCAGGAGATCAAACACAACACTCATCATTTAAAACCAGTTTTTATTTACAGAAACCTTTCTCACCCTGCTCTTTGTAGCCGTCTGTGTTGTTGCCAGCATTCACCACTGTGGCGTAGACCCTTCTGGCTACTGATCGTTTTGTCAGCAACACGACCACTGCTGCTTCAGATCGACAATATCCATTACCTTGTAGGAGTAGGAAGATTTAATTTTTATAGGTAAAGAGTTTTTCATGAGTAAATTATACTCACTGTCACACTGGATAAACTGTGTGATAATGTATCAATTGTACAAAACATATCAAGAGTGAAAAAACAGTGGGAGAAGCTACCGTAATGGTGGCAATTCCCCCCACCCCAATTAGAAACACATCGTTTGCTGCTGACCCTAAAATACTAGAGGGCACAGCAAGAATTTTTATCTCACCTGATGAATCAAAAGATTTGCAGGTTCCATCAGGACTGAGCATGCCCAGTTTCATGAACTGTACAGAGGTGTTTGGCTTGAGCAGCAAATTAACCCCCCCCACAAGGGCAGCATCACACTGGCCCTGGCGTATGGCGTGGAAGGCGTTTTCTAAAGCCAGTAAACTGGAGGAGCAGGCAGTGTCAATGGCAGTGCTGGGACCTGGAGGGGAACATGAGACGACAGAGGTCATGAGACAAAGTGGTCAAGGGACAAAAGAATGATATGAACGATAAGAACGATAAATTTGTGTTTGAATTGTGCTCTTACCACTGAAGTCAAAGAAGTAGGATAACCTGTTGGCCAACATGGCCCGCTGGCAGCCCGTCATGCTGTAGCCCAGCAGCTCTTCTGGATCACGACTGAACGCTTCAGAGGCTTCAGAGCCGCTCACCCCAATATAAACACCCGTCTTACTGCCACGCAGTGAGGCTGGGTTCAGTCCTGTTTCACAGAATTTTATTCTTATTACAGCTGTGGTTTTAAAATGCAATCCTGCCATTTTAATTTACAAAGATGGATCACCTCCATCTACAATAGCTTCATAGGCAATTTCCAGCAGTAGGCGGAGCTGTGGGTCCATCGTGTTGGCCTGTTTTGGGTGAACTCCGAAGAAGGCTGCATCAAAATGACTGATGTCTTTCAGCTTACCGTTCCTCTTTGGAAGACCGTACAAACCTGGAAAGAAAAAAGTCAAATCAGGGCAATCATGTCAGCTAAGAGAGGAAACATTTCTGAGGAGAAATCCTTCTTCAGCTGAGGTCTAACCTGGCGTCCAACGCCGGTCATCTTCTGTCACCATGTCTACGCCATTTATAAGGTTTTCCCAAAATTCCTCCAGATTGTTGGACTCAGGCAGACGGCCTGATATGCCGGAGACAACTATTTCATCCATGTTGAAAAACTGGAGGGACAGAATTTTAAACAAAGAATTATTAACTCTTATTACAAACATGTTCATTCAACAGAACCTTCAACGTCTTTATTTGATACAGGATTGACTGTAGGGTTTAGTGAGAAGGACAATGACTCAAGCCTCAGTGGCAGCTTCAGGTGAAACAATTCTGTTCACTCAGGCTTTCTCTCACGGCACAGCAACACAAATGTTTTAAGCAGCTCATGCTGGTGGATTAGAATAAGCTCCAGTTACTGGTGATGAGACAGTGAATCGGCATCTGTCACATTTATTGGTAAATTATTCTTAATTTGTTCGCACCCGTCTGACTGGCTTTACAGTTTAACTCTTATTACCATATGAACATGACCAGGGGTTACACAGCAACACCCCACTCTCCGAAAGTCTCTCTGTTATGATACTCCACTGTGGTTAAACAGCATTAACTGTTAAAATGGTCATTTTAGTTGCAAACTGGGTGGTGCTAGTTTTGCTTTGTTTGCCAATAGAATAATCGATTTAATCATTTATCTTCTATCCCTTTTTCCTTCTTCACAGCAGTCATGTAGTCAGGGCAGGGAACACCCCAAACAGTTCACTGGACCATGGCAGGGCCACATACTGCACAGAGACATAGAGAGGAACATAATCCTGTATGTTCTGTATGCACACTGTATACAAAAAAACCCTGTGATCTTTTTGCTGTAAGGTAAGAGCACTGGCCACTTTTCTATCACGTCACCGAGCAAGACCAGCAATGTATATCAAAATACCCAGCTCAGGCAATTGGTGCTTTTACACTGCCCATCGTTTAGACCTTATAGAGTACCTATATATATATATTTGCTTATAATGATGGGATCATAATGGTATTCAAACATTCTTAACACCATGAATTTGGCCTTTGTCAGTCACAAGCTGCACTCATCATCAGTCGGGTACAAACATACTAGCAGCTCTACAGGTCAAACATGACACAACTTGTCAAACAGCATGTTGCTAACAAGAAACACTGGGAACAAACTGTCATCACACTGCAGAAAACTCTGTGATCTTCGTAGACCTCTATCACAAAAACAATGCTTTTGTGTGTCTACCTGTTGCTTTTGTAATAAATTTATTATAAATATTTTTTTTCCTTTAACTTTAAAGTTGAAGAAAACAAAGACAAGACAGAGCTAAATTTGATTCTTTTAGCACGCTAAATGTAGGCATATTACAGATTCCTTGCTTTGTAGGCCATTAAAGTCAATTTGCAATGTTTTCTTCTTTTTCTTTAAACTAAATGACTAATAAGTCCACTTTCCCAATGGACTATAAAAATAATCACTAGCTTCAGGCCTAATTAATTCTCCACTGAATTATGGGAAAACAATATAGCTTATGTTACATCACAATGGGCAGCTCTGCCATTGTCATCTTGGCAGAGCCTGACTCATCCTTAGTCCTACTAAATCTGTGAGCCAATCAGGTTTCAAGGAATTTTAAAAACAGCTTATGGTGAAGCAAAATCCATGTAATCACAGAAATGGACTTTAGTGTGATGTGTGATGTGTAAGAGCTACAGTAAGAATCTGAAGGGAGTGAAACAGAACTGCCCTGCTGACCCTGGAGACCGAACACACACTCCAGCGTCTGAGCGAACGCATTACCAACGCATCAATGCATCCTAGTTAGGTGTTCAGAATTGTAAGGCAATTGACAGGGATCTTTAGCATAACATTTTTAAACCAGGGCCAAATGCTCGTCAGTAGGAACCAAGAAAGTCCATGTACGTCACATTTATGAAATGTAATAGTAACTCGCCTTTATTCCAGGAAATAATGTGGAATATAGTTTCCAAGAACAAGTGTTTGGACTAAAACACTCTAACCATAGTTGAATTCAGGGAGATATAAGGGGATAATGGCAGCTGCTGATCAACAGTAAATGTAATCATGGAAAAGCTGTCCGATCTAGGAGAGGAAGCGAGAATGATGCGACATCGTAACAACGGAACTCCCTTAAGAATCAAAGGCTTTTAATAACTGCTTCAGATTCTACGTAATTTATATGACATGTACCCACTACTTAAGTGATAAACAGCAACCGCATAGATTTATTTAAAGTTCGGCATATTTAACTGTTCAAAATGTGAACAAACTGTGCTAATATTTGATGCTGCAACTTACAGCAGACGCCGTTGGCAAACCTCAGTCTGCAAGTTACAGTTCCTGGGTATAATGATGTACAGCAAATAAAATTCATATAAACGTCATAAATAGAAAGCTAACTATCTAGAGAATTGTGACACAGATCAGTTTTATCGATAACACAGTTCAATAGCTGATACAATGGCTCAAAGAAAAGCGAAAACAAACAAACAAACGGCACAGCTGACACTTACCTTGTGTTTTACCGGTGTCTGTGATGTCGGTGCTAAGTCACGATGAGCTGAAGCGTCCACGCGGATCAGACATGTACTGTCACGTTATTTCCGTTAAGTCGAACTGCGACACAAGCACCGCGATGATGTTTTTTCTTAACTTCACCCCTAGGGAGGGAGGGAGTAGGGAGGATAGAAAATGAGCGAGAAACGTGCTTCCTCTGTCTGCCGTCAACTGTCCTGAGCTCGGCTCCCTGCGCTTCAGTGATTCAGTGCTTTTTTTTCCACCGGAGAATTTAAATGTCTCACACACAGCGAGGCCACGCCACATGGGCTGACGGCGTGGACAGTCCAATCAGAAGAGAGGTAGTTCTTTTTGGGTCCAGTCCGTGATGGAGTAATTCGCTGAACGCCTCCTGTGTTGTCACTGAGCTAAGTGAAGAAAAAAAACGGGTGCTGTCGGAGGTTCAAGTTCAGCTCCCACAGAGCTCTCCTCTTTTTCCGGGACTGCGTAGAATACATGACGAAATTAAATTCCGTTTTTTTACCTGATCAAACAATTTACCGTTGGTTACAATACAAACCAACAATAATCTTTGGAATTTACCACCCATCAGAGAGCATTGCACTTTGAAAAAAGCAATGAGGGATATAAAATGTGGGACAGAATAATTGTCATGCAAAACAGGTATAATGGAAGTCACCCAAATGGTTTAGAAATGTCAAGAATCTAAAGTTTTAATAACACATTCGGAAAGGTCCCAAGCTACAGATAAATAAGTATTTGAAAATACCTTGGAGAAAACTAGTAAGCAATGCATCTTTAAAACCCTTAGTCAGAAGTGTCAAAAAAGACAACAGGTTCAACGACCAATTAAAACACAGTTAAACTAAGACACCTGTTTAAAGAGACAGAGGAAGTATTAAAAATAAAAAAAGATGATGCAAATAAGACAGATGAAGTATTCTGGCCATAAAGAGCCACAGAACACCATGGCTTGAATAAATTACAGGAGTGGGGGTATAATCTGGTGGGGATGTTTTAGTGCACTCAGAACTGGAGCCTTCGTGATTCAATGACCCCAGTGTACTTTGAAAATAGTGTTTGCCCTTTTGTTGTTACAATTATGAAAATTCTTCTGTATTTATATTCCTAAGTTCTAATGTTGAATACATATAGTCCATGCAGTTGTATATGTAAACTGATCAGGTGACAAATACAATATTAAATCTTGAATCCTGAATCACGTTCCTAGTTCAGCACCAAAAAAGTCTTGAAATGTATCGCTGTAGATAGATGGACAGAAAGATAGCTCCACAGAGTGACACACAGCTGGATAAACAGACTAGGTTTTGTGTTTAGGTGTTACATAACTGACCAAGTTAAGGTAATGTTTTTGTACTTTACTATTTTAACTAAATGTGAACATACACCCACAGCTTTAAAAGGCCACTGTTCACTCTGCCCTCCAACAGCAGTGTGTGAGCCTTCAACACATCCCTGTTATTTTTTTCATTACTTATAAGTGCTACAGTGGATGCATCGCTGCAGGAACTCCTTTCCTGAACACGTGGTTCCACACGTTGTGGATTTCTGGAAAGCATCCATGTTTGCCAATCACGGGGCGAGGGTGTGGGTTTTCACCCAATCACAGTGGGCGGGGGCGTTGCTGCTGGGAGATAGGGTGATTACAGGGCGGAACCAAAGTCGTGACGTAGCCAGGAACGCTCGTCTGACTTCTTGGGAGGTTACTAGAGTTCAGTATTTCAGATAGCATGATGTTCTAGCACAACATCATCCTTTTCCCCCCCTCTCTGCCATTGGTGTTTGAGGCAACATGGTGATAGCACACATAAGGAGAACACAGTGACCTGAAAATCGATTATGAACAGACTGGAATCAAACAAAGCCTTATTTATAAGCCAAGTATCAAGGTTTGATTTTTTTCCCCCTTTCTGAATTATTTTGCCTATTGAACCCAACTCAAAGACACCAAAGAAGATCTTTAAAAAAAAATAAAATAAAAAATCAACCTATCAAGTATCACCCACTCCTGTTGCTTTTACAAAGCATTATCATTTATTTTATTTCCAAGCTCCAGACCAGGGGTGTCACAGTCATTTCTCTGGGGGGCCACATCAGCAATACAGTTCCCCTTGAAGGGTTGGCTGTAACTGTAAGACAGCATAGCTGTAACTACTCCATAACGTATTAATACACTACATCAACTACTGTACAATGCTCTGTTTAATTAAAAAAAACTTAAGTTAAAAAGCAGCATGGATTTTATTATAAAGCAATTAAATACTTTTTAAGCTTGTGTGTGCCACACAAAATAACTTGACAGGCTGCATTTGCTCCACGGGCCTCAAGTTTGATTCATATGATCTATTCTAGACTGATAAAAATGAATGAATTCTATGTGTACTCTGAAAATGAAGCATTCCTCTTGGCATGAGTCACGGTACAAAAGCAAATTTTACAGTCACTACATAACCAACACACCTGTTTTCTCTTACTGTATGGCTCCTGTTACATCACCTATCCAAAAGCACATGCTGCTACATGCTAACTGCCCTCACTACTGTCAGGACTGTCAAAAGGCCCCTCCTCCCTCCACACTGATGTGGAGCCTACACATATAAGCTCCCCGGTCGACCGGTAGATCCAAACCCATGACTGCAAGTATAAATGAACGTGGGTGAAATTAATAGCTGTCACACATGACAGCAGTCAGGTGAGGTGGCATCAAAAGGAGTGACAAAGTCAGTATGACAGGTTGTGGTGGATGACTGGGTCAAATGTTCTAACCTCCCAGGTTCAAATTCCTTCTTCATTAGTGTCTCCATTCACTGTTAATGCTTTTGTCTATTCTGTACATTTCAGTGTAAAAATATACAAAAGTATTTTAAGTAAGTGACAGGTCAAATAAATAAAAAAAAGAGAAGAGATTTCAAGGTAACTGAGTGGTAAAAGCACTTGGTTGCACCACAACTTCCTACTTCTAGAAAACTTACTGCTTCTAATAAGAAAAACTTAGACTTATTAAAAACAAACAAACAAAGAAAAAAACCAAACATTGTATATATACATAAATATGTATATATACATAGATACAGTATATACACATATACTGTATATTATACATATAAATACACACACACACACATATGTATGTATATATATATACAATAACAAACAGAACAATAAACATTTTAAGTACCGAGTTCTTTTGAGACATGGTTTATTAAAATATTAATTTAAAAAGGATTTAAAAAACATTATTTTTATGCAGCTATTGTGAGGCAGAGTAGAACATGTCCAGCACAGTGGGGTTTAGTCTTTAATGTTGTAGTTTCTGGTCTTTGCAAATGGTCCAGGTCTGCGGCTGTTGCTACTTTTGATTGGTGTTAAACCTGGGTTTTTCTTACGCTGGACCTCAGATGGAGCATGACTGTGAATAGGAGCAGTGACCCCATGCACAACAATCTGAAGATCAGCACCAGCAGACCCAGTTATTTCCTTAGTGCTCTGGTCAACATTACCTATGAATGGACAAGTTAGTATGTTAGTATTTCAACACCAGTCACCAATGACACATTTTCTCTTAAGTCTTTTTTGCAGAAACTAATTTACTGTATTAACTAATAATGCAGAGGAATATCATTTACATCTGGCAGCTTTAGCATAGTAACCCAGCAGTTGGCTGCAGATTTTGTTGTAGGAAATCATTGGGATATGACAGGTAGCAAAACAAAGGTACCTACACCAAGTATTTTCTTCAAGATACATACTATAAACAGTTCAGATTTTTAAAACTCTAGAAAATATTTCTGTGTGTGAGAGAGAGAGAAATAAAGGGAGGACATTTGTCATTACCTGATACATCTCAGTGAAAAAAATACAAAACAGTCTCCACATATCTTAGACAATATGAATACACTACTCTGACTAAATGCTTTTTGTCCAAAAAGATTACATGGTTATCAGACGCAACGATAACCTTATGCAAGACATATTTGATTTCACAATTATTGGAGTGGGAGGATTAGATGTCTGTCCTGCCGTCCAGGCCTGATCTGGCTGCAGCTCCACATATTAGGCAACATCTGTCCTTTACTCAGTGAACCAATGACATGATTTGAAGTCTGGGTTCAGGAACTGAACCTTCATGTCCTTGAACACGCATTAGAAATATAAATGTTACAATTACTGTAACAAGCTGGTTCCTGAAGCTGTTTTCAAGGCCAAATTGAAGCACCT